GAGTCACAAACACTGCTTGATATTGATAGTATGTAAGGAGGAAAAGAGAACTTCACAAATGCAGGATGCGGGAAGGCCTTCCCAAAACAAGAAGTTCTGAGAAACTTTTTCAAGCAAAACTGCAGAAATCACCAAGCTATAGGCCTTGAGTTAGCTTTCCAAGACAGGGTCTTATTTATTTTTTGCCTAATAGAAAAGTGAGTCTGCCAAAAGTCCTTATAGAAAGAAAATTATAGAAGTCAACAACAAGGTCCTTAGGGACTGACTGTGCAAATGGATTCTTGGTTGTCCAGATTCTAACAGGCCATTGCTTTTCACCATTAATAAAGTGACCCTGGGCCAACTATACATACACGTGATGTATACGATGTGTGCAAAAGACTATTCTAATATAAATTCTGCCTGAATGGTGCACACTCATACCCTGATGGTCATGCACACTTAAGTATGTCTGATAAATTGGTTGGTTAGAGAGTACAAGAGCCTCTTGTAAGGACATAAAGGGATGAAAGAGCTCAATAATGGGCTCCCCACTTGCACATTCCATAAAAATTGAGTGAAGATACTCAAAATTCTTAGTCATCAAGGAAATGCAGATAAAAACCACAATAAGACACCATTTCACATCCGCTAAAATGGCTAAGATAAAAAGCTTCACCAAACCAAATGTTGATGAAAATATGATACCACTGGAACCCTCATCCTCTCCTACAGAGCGTGAAATGGTATTGTCTCTTTGGAAAACAATCTGGTAGTTCCTAAGAAAAAATTTTTAAGCACCTGCACTGGGACTTAGCAACTCTTCTCCTAGGTATTCACCCATGAAAAATGAAAATTTTATGTCCACAAAGACAAAGTTTATGCAAGAGTTTATAGAGCAGCTTTTTTTCATAATGACTCCAAATTAGAAATGATTCAAATCTTCAGTAAATGGTCACATTCATACAATGTAATTCTACTCAGAAATAAAAAAGAATGAATCACTATACTCACACATGACAAACTCACAAATATGCTAGATGAAAAAGGTCAGACTCAAAAGCCTACACCCTGCATGATCCCAACTGTGTGAAGTTACAGAACAGGCTCAACTAATCTCTGCTGATAGAAATCTGAACAGCGATTGCCTATAGAAAGGGATGGGTTGATGAAAGAATGTACAACAGACTTTTCTAGAATCACAGAAATGTTTTATATTTTGACTTCAAGTGGTGGTGAAATGGGCACTTACATTTACCAAAACTCCTCAAATTGTGCAATTAAGGTCTGTACGCGTTACTGTTGGTAATTTTACTTTTTGGGGGAGAGAGAGACACTGGGGATTGAACTCAGAGCTTTGTGCTTGTTTGGCAGGCAATCTACTGCTTGAGCCATGTCTTTAGCCCTTTTTGTTTTGGTTATTTTGGAGATAGGGTTGCTTTTTGCCCAGTGCTCCTGAACTATGACCTCCTATTTTACACTGCCTACCATTGCTGGGATGACAGGTACATGCCACCATGCCCAGTTTTTTTACATTGAGATGGGGTGTCAAAAGCTATTTTGCTTGGATTGGCATGGAACTGCAATCCTTCCAATCTCAGTTCCAAGTAGCTAAGATTATAGGTGTGAGCCACTGGTGCCCAGATACTTAAGTTTTTTTATTGGAAAAAAAATAGAGTGCTCTGAACCCCTGTAAGTCATTGGGCTCAAACATCACATCTTTGGTGACAATATTCATTATTGCTAACACATACATGGCACTTTGTGTCAGCACTATTCTAAGCATTTTGAGTATATTAAACTCATTTAATTCTCACAATAACCCTATGAGGTGGAATACTATTGTTCGTGTCCATTGTACCGAAGAAGAAAATGAAGCAAAATAAATTTATACAGTCAAGATCACACAGCTAGTAAGCAACAAAGCTGGATCTGAACCCAGGCACTACATCTCCAAATCTCTGATAAATGACTCTATGCCCTAAAATAGAACACCAAGGGTATGCTTTTCTCCTTTCTCGCAGGGGACTTGCAGCTTGTGCACTTCAAGGGCTCCAGTGAGCTTTCAAGGTATTTATCATTGGCCAGGACACCCAAGAGCAGTTTTGGAGCAAGACTATTGTCAACATGACACTCCTTGAGGGGTGTGCTTTCAGCATCACTGAGTCTTAAATACCCTTGAATAACCAAGATTCACAGCATTTTCTCAACTCTTAGGGGGAAATGGACATTAGGCAGAACAGAAAGAAGCCTAGGTTGTTAAGGAAGGCTATCCCTGGGAACTTGACTTTTGATTCCTGTCTCATAGTATGCTTGGATGGTGAAGAGTTTTATACTAGTTTCTTGCTCTCGATAAATAGGTAAGCAGAGAGGAGTGTAGTTAAGAGAGTAATAATAATAAAAAAAATTTAAGAAGCTGGGCATGGTGGAACACACTTGTAATACCTGCACTCAGGAGGCTGAGGCAGAAGGATGAAGAGTTTGAGAACAGCCTGGGCTACATAGTTGATCCTACCTGAAAACAAAAACAAAAGCCAACAAACAAAAAAAGTCCTCTTTACTCTTAGGTAAAAGACTGATAAGAGAACAGGATATTTGTATAGTGCCAAAATATCAGCCCCTAGATTATTTACTATGTGCAAAGGGGAAAATAAACATTTACTATAGAGAGGTAGGGCAGCCACCACCTTAAATCTTCAAACTTGGCCACACAAATAATAGGACAACCTGATTCAATGATGCATTGTGAACCACAAAACATCACTTTAAGGGATTACCAAAGTGTTTAATTTGCATGTTCCAAGAAAGCAAGAGTACTGAGGAATAAAATAAACAAATCTAGATTGTGGGTCATTCTACAAGGCAAGTAGTTTTAGCTTTTCCAAATCAGTATCATGGAAAAAACAAGTGGGGTGACTGTTTTGTATTACAAGAAAGTCAGCAAAATGATAGTATGGACATCAGTAAAATAATTGAATAGGAAATTCAAAGCTCTAGTCTCAATTTAAGAAAAATTAAAAACCAACAGTAACTGTAAGAAATGTCAGAATCAAGGAATCCACTAGGATGGCTATAGTTTAAAAGAAAAAAAAGGAATAGACAGTGAAGATATGGAGAAATTGGAACCTTCATACCTTGCTGGTGGGAATGTAAAAATGGTGCGACTGTTGTAGAAACAGTTTGGCAGTATTTCAAAAAACTAACCATAGAATTATAATCCACTTCCTGCTCACCATGATGTGAGCTGCTCTGCTCTGCCATGCCTGGCTGCCATGATACACAAACTGTAAGCCAGAATAAATCTTTCTTCCTTAAATTGTTACTATCAGGCACTTGGCATACAGACAAAAGTCTGAGTAACACATAGGGGGAAAAATATGTGAAGAGGGGGGAAAATATATTGAAACATTAACACCTGTGAAATCTAGGTGAAGGATATATGAGTGTTTGTGGTACTAGCCTATCTTTTTTGTATAAACATTTTCATAATAAAAGTTAGAAACAAAAGGAAAACTTTAATATTTAGGCCACTCTGCCTCCCAGAACTAACCCTATTAACATATTGGTTTATTATATTGGCTTAAATCCTTTTAGCCTTTTCTCTTTCTCTCTCTCTCTCTCTCTCTCGATATATATATACACACTATCCCTTTAAACAACAACAACAACACAGGATCAAACTTATATTGGTGTTTATTGAGTTTACTTGGCCAATGTTTATTTAAGTATAACTTACACAGGCCAGGAAAATGAATATTGAAGGATCCCTTTAATTTTTCCCTAATGTATGCATGAGAATTTAATGTGCCTCGTTTCTAATCAAATGTGGTTTTAAAAAAATCATGTTAAGTGCAGATACATAACAAAATTGTGAACTTTCAGCAACTGTGTTATAATCTAAGAGTATCCTTATAATGAAATATTATGCAATTGGTTAAATTTAATAAAGCATTTTTAACTTTTGTTCACTCAGTTAATGAATATTACTGTAGATATGGGTGCAGACCATAATGCTGTAACTACAAGAAGCATAAAGAAGCCAACTGCCCCTCCGAAACTCATTCCGGTTGATACAGGATCATTTCCCCCCCTTCAGCACTAGGGTTTGAACTCAGGGCCTCACACTTGCTAGGTAAGCACTTTTACAGCTTGAGCCACACCACCAACCCTTTCTTGTGATGGTTTTTTCAAGATAAGGTCGCTCCAAGTATTTGTCTGGGGCTGGCTCTGAACCCGGAGTCTCCTGATCTGCCTCCTGAATAGCTAGAATTATAAGCATGAATCATCGGCGCCTGGCTTGGTACAGGATCTTAAATGCACTATGTGAGCTGATAAAAAAGATTCTTACTCTACCCACGTGTAGATTCCAGGAGGGCTTTTTGCCGGAATTGACTTTTTGAGACTTGAAGGATGAATAGGAGTTAGTCACACTTATAAAATACTGGATGGAGACATGCGCTCTGGTGTTAAATTGTCCAGTGGACAGTGACATTGGGCAAGTCGCTTAACTTCTCTGTGCCTCAGAGATAATGTTATAAGGCTTAAATAAGTGGCGCATGGGTAGCACGTAACGACTACATTTTTTGAGCACTTGTGATTATTGCTACAGTATTTATTTATTTTGCTACAGTACTTAAAAAGAGTTACAATATACCAGGCTTGATGCCAGAGACACAGTAAAAGACCTACCTACTACATGCTCTAGGTGTCCCCGCTCCCTCAAGTTTTTTTGTACTAAACACTTTTCCAAATATTAAATACATTGTAGAAAGTGTAAATTAAAACATCATACCTTTCGTTCCTCCCTGTTTTTACCCTCTTCACCTAAGCTGATGCATTTCTCAACACTCCCTGTAAATTTTGAGGGCTACGACAGCTAGAACAGCTGGACCCCACCCCAACATGCGCCCCGCCCCCGCTGAGGGCACGCAGCAGCACGCTCCACTCTGATTGGTCTACTCTTCCAGCTCGCCGGATCCCCGTATCCAATCAGCGTAGCGCTTGTTGAGCCGCGGCAGCAACAGCGGTACACAAGAAGCCTGAGTACCTGTGGACGGAGTAGGTAGTCAGGCCATGAACTTGGGGTAAGCCGGCTCGAGGAAGGTGGTCGTTAGCGGAGGAGTCGGGTAGGCTGGGTTGGCTTTTGGAGTCTTTCGTGGGAAACCTGTGTGTGCGTCGCCTGGGGCGGCGAGCCCAGCAACCTGAGGTAGAGAGTGGCGAGGGGGACGGCTTAGCCATTTCGACCCAGCGGGCCTCGCTTTTCGCTGCCTGAGTGGGCGTTAGAGCCGTCCGCAACGGCCTTCTGTCTGGTCATTTACCGCAGGGTGGAGAGGGTAGATGGAGGGAGAAAGCGTAGCGGAGGTTCTGGGCCTACGTCCTTGAGGTCTTGCAGAGTGTTGGAGCATCGGGTTACCTAACGCCCTCCAGGTGATGTGTCACCCGTGCATCGCCCTTAACGGGCGCTCGGAGGAGCGGTAGGGTACATTAGACAGCCTGGGGTGTGCTTTTCATCACTCGGAAGATAAAAGGCACTCAGCCCAGATTTCACTGCACATCCTTTGCAGGTGAAAGTTAGGCTCCAGAATCTGGGATTTAGATAAGACAGTCTGTGTCTGCATTAAGGAGTTTACAGTATAGTGCAGAACAGACGCTCGGCAGTTTTATTTGGTGACGTTTCACCAGCATAAACATGACCTATTCATGCTGCAACAGGGAAACCCTAAAGTCTATTCCTTCCAGTGTGTTAACAATAAGTTGAGGTAATTAGATTTCCTTACTTCAGCAACATCCTCAGTTTCGCTAATCACACCTTTCCCGGCCTCTCTCTGGAGAGACTGCTGGATTTGACTTTCAGCTTCGCTTTTGTGCTTGTGTAGTGACACACTGTTTGTTTGTTTGTTTTTCCTCTTAGTAAGACAGTGAATTACTATATGGAACGCTGTTTCTGTTTAGGACCTTAACAGATGTACAAGTCTTTTGTTAGTCATGTCTGCCATTTCTTTATGCATTTCTTTATGCTCATGCTTTTGACGTAAATGTACAAAGTACCATATTAGCCAAAGTTAATTGTACACTTATTGTTGTGATAGCAATCAAAGAGTCACTACGTGCGAATATGTATTATTCAAGGAACTCTATGCTCTAGCAGTTAATAGACTTTGTGGCACTGCTGTAGTTATTTTCAGGCGCTCCAGCCCTCTATATAATGTTAGTCATATGAGATCTTTATGAATGTAAATGGTAGAACTTTTTACCTATACCGGCTTAGCTGAGGAATTTGGGTAACTGACATTATTATTATTATTATTATTTCTTTTTAGTCTAGAGCTACAAGTTAAAGGATGGTATGATAATTGGACTAATTTATTTTTTACCAATAACAAAAATCAGGTTTCAGATTGAAGGTAATGGAATTGTTGGATTATTGAAAAGTTTCAAGAAAAATTTTCTCCCTGTAGTTTTTTTCTCTTGGATTGAAAAATATTTTAAATTAAAAGACTATTCTGATATGTACAAGGTTCTTGTATAAATTCAAAGGAATAGATTTCAAGGTTCAAATGAACATTTCTGGCTATTTAAAACGTTGCTATTTATTAAAAATAACAGGCAAATTTCTTTTACATTGCAGAGATGGTTTAAAGCTTGAAACTGAATTACTGGATGGGAAAACCAAGCTAATATTATCTCCATATGGTATGCTGTGTTACAAGAAATTTAAAATGCTAACTTTTAAGTTCTTACATAAAGTTTATTATAATAGTTTAGCATACTTTTTGCTTGTAATAGAGTGACGTTTAGATGATACTTTGAAAAAAGTAAGATTACATCAGCGCTTACAACTGTCAGTATTCAGATTCGTAAAATTTAATATTCCAGTATATTTCATGTGTAATATTTGTGTGTCTGCATATAGCAAATATTTTTTTCTTTTTGGTGCTGGGGATTAAACCCAGGGTGTAAAGGATATGAAGTTAATGTTTTTCAGGATAATATTTCTACCTTAATAATCTTAGACAATGCTAATTAAAGTTTTCTTTTGTAACTGCTTTAATTAGTTTTTGGTTGATAGTTTAGTAATTTTTTTTTCTTTTGTAGAACATAAATCAAAAATTTCTGTGAAGGTAAGCCACATGACTTTGACTTAAACTGTTTTCAAATGTAAAATGCACTTTTCAGTTATTTGAAAATAATTCCTGGGAAATGTCAAAGTGTTCTTAGGGATTTGGAATGATGCCGAAGAGTTATTGTTATCTTGTTTTCAGGCTGGTCTTCTCACAGAAATGGGATCATAATTTTTTCAGCTTAAAAAGCCCAACAGAATTCTTTTCTTTAGATCATTGCTATCCATTAAATTTTCTGTAAAGATGGAAATGTAAATTCAGTGCACTGTGGTAGCCACTAGCCATATGTAGATTGAGCACTTAAAGTGTAGCTAGTGTAACAGAGGGACTGAATGTCTTAATTTCATTTAATGTTTAATTAAATTTGATAGCTATTATACCAGACAGTGCAGTTCCAGAGATCTTTAAAAATAGGTATTCAGAATTTAAAACAAAAATACTTTTTCTTTTTATGCTCAAATTCCACACCAAAAAGGAAATTTGATTCCCAAATTGTTATATTCATTTAGCTTTCTCCTTTAAAAGATTACAGTTAAAGGGCTGGTGTAGTGGCTTAAGTGGTAAGAGCACCTGCCTAGCAAGCATGAGGCTCTGAATTCAAACTCAAGTGCCAGAAAAAAAAAAAAAAAGGTTACAATTAAACTTACTGGTAATTTTCCTTTATCAGGAACCTATTGTACCTTTTTCTCCAAAATGCATTACCACATTAAAATTTATTTTTGCAGTGCTGGGGATGAAAACTAGGTCCTTGCACATACTAGGCAAGCATTTTACTACTAAGCTACATCCCCAGCCCTTCAGTATTAGGAACAGGGTCTCACTGTTTATCTCAGGCTAGCCTTGAACTTGCTACATAGCCCATAAAAAACTTGCAATCCTCTTGTTTGTGCCTCTCATGCTGTGATTATAGTTGTGGGCCACCATGCTCAGCCATGTGCAGTATGCTGGTAAATTTGCTTGATTCACAAAGTGATTTTTTTAAAAACTAGAATGAGTTACTAATGTCTTAAAAATTGGAAATTTTAATGTAAAATATGGCCTTTTTGATTCTCTTGAAATACTGCATGATCTAACAACTAGGCTATAATCCTATTTAGCAGTTGGGTGGCTTTGAGTGGTGGTGGTCTCCTTTAGATGGGAAAGTACTTTTCTGTTTAAGTTCCTATCCAGTATAGTTCATAGTAGGCATTTGAGTTTATCACCATTTATTTAGACAGTTGTATTAAAATAACTGCAGGAATGAAAGGGCAGAAAGACATTTTAGATTGAGATAGGGGTATAACCAAAAACCTAAAGTCAGGAATAAACAGGATGAGGTAAAGAAGATAATAAATGGATTTTGTGTCTGATGCTGTAGTTATGTTTTGGAAAGTAGGATGAAATGCAATTGACTAATTGGTCAGCATGATTATATGTTAGGGATTTTCTTTAAAGACAAGGAAAATTTGAATAAGCCAGATGAAAGCTCTAACTCAGCAGACATCTAACCCACTGACAACAAGGATACTGTCTTATTTTGTGGGGAAGCGGGGGAAAATCAAACCCAGGGCCTTGCTCCATTAGGTAAGTGCTCTACCACTGAGCTATATCCTTGTCTTAACAATTTTTATATTTTCAACACTTGTCCCATAGTAGTAAGCACATAAACATCAATACTTAATATTGATTAGATGATTGTTGAGTTATTTTAGTTGAGGTTACAAAAATTTACAGTGGATTAAATGGAGGACACATGAAATAGGCAAATTGTAATCTAGTAGTGATAATGAAAACCTGAATTTAGGCTTGTCATCATGTAAATGAAGACCAAAAGATATTTGGAAGCAAGGGATGACCAGTATTTGCTAATATGCTAATGAAGACCCTGAAGGAAGTGGGTCAAAGATGATTCCATGGTTACTGGCCTGAGATTAGAAGAGTGATGTCACAGAAATGAATTATTTTCGAAAAGGGAACTAATTTGAGGGCAAGAGAAAGAATTCAGTGGCATAAGTGGTATAGTTGAGGATATTCATCCAAAATTCATTGAAAGCCTACTCTGTTCCACTCATGTGTTCTAGATATAGGAGATACAAAGCAGGAAAAAAAAACAGCTGTTTTGTGGAAAGATATTAAGAAGGTGTGGAATGGGCAGATGCTAAGCAAATAAATATTATAAGAAAAAAAGAGCTTTGAAGAAAAATAAGAGCTGGGAAAAAGTGTGATCACCTTTAAGGACTTAGCAGCACTGGGAATAGAGAGTTCTAGAGAGGTGGGTCAAATGGTGGTTATGTTAGGCCTCACTGAGTGGATGATATTCGAGCAAAGATTGGAAGGAGATGAGGGAATGAACTGTGTAGAATCTGCAGAAAGAATATCCTAGGAAGAGGATTAATGAGTACTGAGTCCTTGTTGAGTTCAAGAACAAACAAGAAGCCCATGTAGCTAGAAGTTAAGAGATAAAAAATAAAGTCAGATGTAAGAGAAAAAATGGGGGCAAAAGGGGCAGGGGGAAGGAATGCTCACAGATTCTTAAGGCTTTTTAAGTCATCATAAATATTTCAACTTTGCCTCCAAGTAAGATGAAAGCCACTTTTTGAAGACAGCACATGATCCAACTTACATATTAAGGTAATCACTGTGGCTCCTCTGTTGAAAATAAGTGGGAAGCTAATTTATTGGAGCAGAGGAGTAACAAAAGAGATGTTGGGAGTGGTCAGATTCAGGATACATTTTTTTGCTTTGTTTTGGTGGTACTGGGGTTTGACCTCAGGGGTTGCATGCTTGCTAGACAGGTATTCTGCCCTGTCTTTGCTTTTAGTTACTTTTCAAATAGGGTCTCATGTTTTGCCCCAGCCATTCTGAACTGTGATCTTCCTATTTATACCTCCCTGGTACGAGGTCAGAGGCATGCACCAGCACCCTCAGCTTACTTACTGAGATGGAGTCTCCCCAATTTTTTGCCAGGGCTGGCCTTTTGAACCATGATCTATGCTCAGCTAAAATTACAGGTATGAGCCTTCACACCGAACCTCAGGATATGTTTTGAAATACTGCAAAACAGTGTTTGATGACACATTAATTGTGGCATATGAGAAAGGAGTCAAGTATAAGTGCACAATTTTTGGCATGAGTAAATGAGGTGGTGTGGAAGTTATTTAGTGACAAGAGAAATGAGTTTAGTTTTGGACTTGCCAAGTTTAAAATGTCTATTAGAAATTTAGAGAAAATGTTGGATAGGCAGATGAAACCTGTAATTAGGGGACAGGAACACCTGAAGACACAAACTTGGAAATCAACATGGATAATGTTTACAGCCAGAAGGATAAATGAAGTTACCAATTAATTAAGGGAACAAGACTGACCTGTGGGTAACTTAAGAGTCTCTCTCGACAGGCACCAGTGGCTCACACCTATAATCCTAACTACTCAGGAGGCAGAGATCAGGAGGATCACGGTTCAAAGCCGGGCAAATAGTTCATGAGACCCTATCTCAAAAAAGCCTTCACAAAAATAGGACTGGTGGAGTGGCTCAAAGTAAAGGCTCTGAGTTCAAGCTCCAGTACTGAAAAAAAAAAAAATTAGTCTCAGGGAATAGGAGAAGCCAGCAAAGGCTGAGAAGAAGCAGTGAAATAAATTAGAGAAGAACCAAGATTATGGAGTCCTGGGAGTGAAGTAGAGAAAGTATTTGAAAATTGAAAGAGTGGACTGTGGACATGGTTTAGCTGGCAGAACACATGCCTAGCAAGTGTAGAGCCTTAAGTTCAAACCTCAGTACCACCAAAAAAAAAAAAAAGAACAGAAAAGAAAATGGAAAGAGTAATCAGCTGTGTCAGATACAGCTCATAGGTCAAATAAGATTTGAGAATTGCTTACTAGATGTTTACTTAGATTAGTGGTGTAGAAGTTATTAGTGACCCGAGCAGTTTTGGTAGGGTGAAAGTTGCATGAAATGTGCTTTTAGGAGGTGAAAGACAAAGTGGGATCAAGAATTTTTTTTTTTTTTTTGGTGGTACTGAGAATTTTTTAAGATGGTAAAATAACAGCATGTTTGCATGCTGTATGCAGACATGCTGGATGTAATGTAGCTGAAAAGAAAAAAAAATTAATGATTCAGAAGAAAACAAAGAATTTTCAGAGAGAGAGATCCTTGAGAAAGGGTTATGAGATTGTGTATGAGTAACAAGAGTGCAAGTAGTCTATACTAGATGCTGGTATAGATTTGGAGGTAGAAACTGGAAGTATTCTTCTCAGTACTTCTCTACAAGAATTTTAGTGAAATACTAAACAAGGTCTTCAGCTGAGAAAAAAAATGGAAGAAAAAGTGAGGTTTTGAGAAAGAGAAAATTGAGAGAGTAAATGGACTTGGGAAATGTAGGACTACCGGGTAGCATTTAGAGCCCATTTGAAGTTCCTGGTTATGAATTTAGGCAAAACCAGTTAGCATGTGGCTGTGTTTTTCTCCATGAGTGTTATTACAGACTAGAGAAGAGTTGTATTTTACCAGAATTGGGATTTGCTAAGTGTGCCTGACAACAGAACAAAGACTGGAAGAGAGATGATTTCAGTTGATTGTGGAATTTAAGATTTTTTGTTAAGAAGGGAAATAAAAGCAAGAAGGAGGTGATAGGAGCAACAGATTATAGATTCTAGACCAGGTAAAGACTTTTGGAATTGGGACGTGGGAGGAAGTGAATTGGGAAAAATAGGAGATGTTAGCCATTATTCTGCACTTGAAATTGTGGAGAGCTTGCAGTTGTGAGTAATTACAAGGTGAGTATAAGTGTCACTGTGGAAATGAGTAATTGAGGTAGCATGGGGAACAACAGAATAGGAGCAGTTTTACTTGTTCCTTCCTATTATTGCTTATACTCTTCAACAAAAATAGAGATAAGGGCAAAATAGTTTCTGCTGGGTATCGAGGGGGTGGGGGGAGAGGAAGGGGGCGGAGTGGGTGGTAAGGGAGGGGGTGGGGGCAGGGGGGAGAAATGACCCAAGCCTTCTATGCACATATGAATAATAAAATAATAAAAAAAAAGAAATGAATGATTGGGATGTTGGAAGAATTATCTATGTAGATGTGAAAGCATCAGTAATTATGCTGGAGAGAGGTTGACCAATGAGCTAAGATATTCAAGACTAGTAACCTGTGTGTCTATAGATACAAGTAAAGAAAAGAGTAATGTGGGTAGTATGATTTAATGACATGAAATTCAAAACTAGAGAAGAACGGAGGTGTCCTGTAACAAGCAGAAGTTTGTCTCCCTCATCCAGAAGTAAAATAATTTCTAATTGTTGATGAAATTTTCAAGTGAAGATATATGAAGTTAAACATTAATATCTTATTATATTACCTAACTAAAGGACAAAATGAAAAAAAATTATAGGACTGATTTATCACACATTATGTGAATAAAGATAATTGTTATGTATGTGTGCGGCATAGTGGCACATACCTTTAATCCCAGCACTTTGGAGGCAGAAGCAAGAGGATTGTGAGTTTCAGGCCAGCCTGGGCTATATAAATGAGACTCTGTCTCACATTGTTGATTTCCATAACTGTTATAAAAAATAAACTTTTGGTATTTTAACAGATCGGAAATAAGACCAAGATTGCAAAATGTCCTTTAAGAACAAAACAAAGTGGACACATTCTAAAATCAACACAAAATAGTATTAGAAGTGAAAAACCTTTGCAAAAGAAAACTTCACAGGCAAAAAGTGAAAAAAATAAAATGATGCTTTCACCCACTAAGGATTTTTGTAAGCAGTATACAGATAAAGACTGTCTTCATATCCAAAAAGAGATTTCACCTGCAACCCCTCATATACAGAAGCTTGAAAACACCCCAGATACATCTTTAGTAGCTAAAGAGAAGCCTTGCAAAAAACACATCATAGCTGAAAACATAAATAACAATTTGGTGTGTTTAACACAAGATCAGCTACGACAGATTTTGATGACAGTAAACCAAGGAAATGGATTTGTTTCCCTGACTGAGAATGGAGAGGAGGAGGAAACAAGTAAGAATTTTCTTAATTTTTACTGCATATTTTCTCAGTATGTGCTTTAGAATTTCAGATTCATTGGCTTTTATGTAACTGTGCCTCTTAAATTCTAATTTAACATGTAACAATCTTTAAAAATTCTATCCTTTTGGAAGACTTTTAAATGTAAAATTGCTTTTGCAGTTGTGCTATATTTTAAGGTTAATGCTCAAAGTATTTGTATCCTTAAAGAAACCTGGTTTCTGTGGACTTCAGAAAAGATGTCAGTACAAAAAATTCTTCTACATGGTTTAGAATTTAGGAGGCTTAACATTTAAAATGGGTTCTGGTGGCTCACGCCTGTAATCCTAGCTACTTGAGAGGCTGAGATCAGGAGGATTGAGGTTCAAGGCCAGCCTGGGCAAACAGTTCAAGAGACTTATCTCCAAAAATAACCAGAGCAAAATGGACCCAATGTGTGACTTAAGTAGTAGAGTTTGCAGGTTTTGCAAACTTGAATCCCTGAGTTCAAACCCTAGTCCCACCAAAAAAATAAATGAAAATAAAAAATAATTATATAAAACAGTGTTTTGGCTGAGTATTGTGGTTCATGACAGTAATCCTAGCTACCCAGGATCAGAGGTTGGGAGGATCACAGTTTGTGACCAACTCAGGCAAAAAGTTCTCCAGACCCCATCTCAACCAATAAAAGCTGACCATGGTAGCATGTGCCTGTCATCCTAGCTATGTGGGAAGCATAAATAGGAGGATGGTGGTCCATTCTGACATGGGCATAGATGCAAGACTCTATTAGAAAAATAACTAAAGCAAAAAAGCTGGTGATGTGATTCAGGTGGTAGAGGATCTGCCTTTCACGCACAAGGCCCTGAGTTTAAACCCCAATACCACCCCAAAAAATAAATAAATGTATGCGTGTGTCTTGTTTTGTGTTTTGAAAGAAGAGACTTTACTGTGAAGATTTGATTTCAGTTTCTAAAACACATTGCTCTCCTGGCCTCTGTATTTGTTCTTCCTGTCCTTCAATTCATGCTAAGGATCAGCTTTACTGCATTTTATTTTTGCCCCTCCCCCCATACTTTATTTATTTACACAGTTTTTAACTAATGTAAAATGCAGATTTACAGAGTAGTAGATTGTTACATACTTTCTATTTCACAAGATAGAGCATTGTTTCATCTTTAAAAAACCTATTCTTACCTTTGAGCTACGGGATTGTAAATATGAAGGTAATAGAAATAACATTAAAATTTTATTAGGCAATAGTTAAATAAAGTACACTGGCAGTCCCAATGAAGGGACCACACAACTAACTTGGGGCCAGGTAACTCCTACACACTCCCAAGATACTCACAGTGGAGTCATTTACCCTCTTGGTGAGAATTTTTCTTTGTAAAATAAGGGAGCTTGATTTTGTCTTTAAGGCTCAATAGAATTCTAACTCAGAAAACATAAGGAGAGATAGTATCAATGAAGTTAAAGCACATTTTACCTAATTGTGATGATTTGCATATTAGATTTGCTTTCTCTATATGGAGAAAACTAGCACATTCAAGAGGAATTAGAACAATTACGGAGCTAGCATATGAGCTCTCTATAAAACATTTGGTTTAACTGTTACAACCAGGGCATAGAAATAACAGTTCACTGATTTTACAGGTTAATGAGAAAAATAATTAATAAATTTTTAAACATTTTATTTCTTAGGTCAGGATAATCTACACTTACAAAATATTCCTAATCAGCCAAAAGATGAGAATGTTATGGGATTAGTGCAGAAAACTGAGGCTGTTTCATGCATCCAAGATGAAAATAAGTCTGTCTTCAGTAAAAATCAAGAGGCATCTAAACCGTATGAGCAGAAAATTGTCATGTATGTAACCCATACTTGTTTTTTTAGGGTCATCTTGGAAATGTAGTTTTGTTTTTCCTTTACTTGCATATGAAATACTTATTCTGAAGATTTGGCTGATTAAAAGTTTATTACTTAATATTTATGGAGTCTGTCACATAGAAATGCACAGTGACAAAGTTTCTGGTTGTGTGTGTATGTTAATGTGTTTTTCCTTAGAGAGAATGAATGGAAACCGGCTGACATATTCAGTACTCTGGGAGAAAGGGAACGTGATAGAAATTTGTTGGAAGCAAAACGAGCCCAATGGAGAAAAGAGCTAGGTAGGGAATTTTTGTATCTTTTGTTGGCTTATGTAATGTATAGTGAGATTGAACACTGTCTGTTAGGATACTATCTAAAGTCTTGTTTGACAACATTTGACATCTATAGTAGTTTCCTGCAAATGCATAAAGTTTTGTGGTTTCACATTGCTTTAAGTTGTATCTTTTTGTTTGATGTGCACCAAAAGCATTAATGTCACTAGAGCCTGTGTAGCTCAAGTAAATACTTTTGTGTGTGTGCGTGGGGGGGGGGGTGTACTGGAGTTTGAACTCATGGCTTCAAACTTGCTAGGCAGATGCTCTACTGCCTGAGCCATGCCTCCAGCCCTCAAGCAAATATTCTTCAACTTTCCTTTTTCACATTTTTCCATTGAGGAAAAACATGAATTTAAGGTTGGCTTCATTAAAAAATAATTCACTTCAATTTTAAGATAATGGAAATAACAAACATACCTGGCTTGTTTTTTTATAATGGGGTCTCAGTAACTTTTTGCCCTGGCAGGCCTTAAACCTGATCTTCCTGATTTCTGCCTCCCAGGTAGCTATAATTACAGATGTGCACCCAGTGCCCAGCCCTAAATATTTTCTTTCAACACATTTAAAAAAATTCCATGCCAAATTTCTGAAATAAGTTGGAACTACTTAGAAATGACTGAATAGTTTATGCTGTAATTATTATCTTAAATAGTTTTCTTTTTTTAAATTTGATACTGTTGGCAAAGGACATCTCTCTTTAAGTCATGCATTCACTAATTTTCTTGGAATTTAAATCTATAATCTCTGAATTTTTTTATTGTTACATTGCATTTTTTAAAATTGTTTATTCATTTATTCATGAATACATTGGGCCATCTCTCATGCCTACCCCCTTCCCCTTCCCCCCACTACATCTCTGAATTTTGTGTTTAAAGAACTATTTATGAGGAGGGGATGAATCTAACTAAGGTACATTGTAAACATACATGGAAATGTGACAGTAAAATCCCCCTATATAATATGTGCCAATAAAAATATTTTTTAAAAAAGGAAAAAACTTTTGATGGTTCAAGATTTAGTTTTGGCCATCTGTTAGACATAGGGTTGTATATTTTCACTTTTCAGCAATTATGAAAAAATTACTAACATATTTAACTTTGTGCTTATACTGAAATAGTCAATATTATTATCTCCATTTTACAGAAGATGAAAACAAGATTTACAGAGGTTTAATAGTAGTTTGCCCTGAATCAGATAGCTAAAGTAAGTGACTGAACTTGAAGTTTACTCTGAAGTTCAGAGTTCTAGCTTTTAATTCCCTTAGTGATAACTAAATGAATGATATAAGAAAGTAGAATTTCAGATTATTTAATGTAATGTAAGTTATTCTGAAAAAAATTATTCCATATTGATAATTATAGTAATAAAAAACATTCTTACATTTACTTATACTATACTTAAGTTTGGTCCTGATTTAAATGTTTTTGTTTCCTCCATATCCTGAAAAATTCCTCTCTACTTTGTGAATTAATCTCCTTCCTTAAAAACCGTTTTGCTTAAATCTGTGTTGCAATTTGCACTCTTTAAGAAGGTCATGATTTGCTTACATGATTCTCTTTTTTACAGTTTTTGTACATTTTTTTTAAAAAGGACATTATTTACAGATGAACAGGTTGCTTTAAAGAAGAAAGAAAAAGAAGCTTCTGAAAAATGGAATAATCCTTGGAAAAAATCTGAAAGTGATAAAGTAGCATGGGAAAAATTTCAGATTCCTAATCAATCAAGGGTAAGCATATCAAAATCAAGTGTTTTTCTTATGTCTCAATATAACACATCCAAGTGTAAGACACCTTTATTATAGTTTTTAAAGTTCAAAATGACATTCATATTTTAAAAAGTTTTTTTTTATTTGTTTGTGTTTTGGCAGTACTAGGATTTGAAATAAGGGCCTCATATTTGCCAAGCAAGTGCTCTACCACTTGAGTCCTCACCTAGCTCTAAGACTTATTTTCAGAGCTCATTTATTTAAACAACAACAAAAACCCCTACTTTCAGTTTGTTTTAAAACAGTATTTGAATATAATTTTGACCTGGACTGGCTTACTACTAGGTAAGTGTAGAGGCTTCCTTTAAGTTCCTCCTGTAAAGAAGTGTTGCAGTTTTATAAATGACACAAAAATCTACCACTAACCATGTAATATCTATGACAGGTTTATCAAATCAACCTTAAGTGGTTTTATGTCAACATAATAAGTATGTAACATATCTTTCAGGTAATGCTTCTGTGCTCTTTAAATTTTATATGCCTAATTTTATACAAAGAAAAAGTTCCCCTGTTTTTCTTTTCTTTTTTTTTCTTACCACTTCTGCTGGCTCTTCAAATATTTTGTCACAGTCCCCTTGTCAGAAAGGTCATGGTTCAAGGGTAGCCCAGGCAAAAAGTTCCAAGACCCCATTTCAGTCAGGCTAGGTGGTATGCACATGTTATCCCAGTCACTCGGGGAAGCACAGATAGGAAGATCATGGTTCAGGTCTGTCCAGGCATAAAGCAAGACCCTAACTGAAAAATAACCAACACAAAAAGAGCTGGAAGAATAACTCGAGATAGAGTACCTGCCTAGCAAGCATGAGGCCCTGAGTTCAACGTATAAAAAAGTTTTTAAATTTTTGGAAGTCTATTGTATCTGTTCTTTTATTTTGTTACCTTTGCTTTTCATGTCATATCCAGGAACTCATTGCCAAATCCAATACATGGGCTTTTCTCCATGTATTGTTTTCTTTTAAGAGTTTTTTAGTTTTAGCTGTTATGTTTAGGTCTTTGATACATCTTGAGTGTAAGGTAAGGGTCCAGCTTTATTCTTTTGCATGTGGATATCCAGTTTTCCCAACACCATTATTAAATAAAATATTGTATGTGTCTTAGCACCCTTGTCCAAAATTATTTGACTTATGTATGCATAAGTCCTGTTCTGTTCCATTAGTCTGTATGTCTCTCTTTTTGTTAGTGTCTCACTGATTACTGTAGCTTTGTAGTAACTTGTGAGCATTTTTATGTTTTTGTTTTACAGTGGTGGGCATTGAACCCAGGGCCTCATATAAGCTAGGCAAGCACTTTGCTCACATTTACACATCTAGCCCTTGTACTAAGTTTGAAATCAGAAAGTATGAATCTCCAACATTTATTTTATTTATTTATTTATTAGCATTATTGCTGTTTTGAACTCTGAACCTCATGTTTGATAGGCATGTGCTCTACCACTTGAGCCACACCTCCAGCCTAAACTTTCTCTTTCTTATTGTGATGAGTGAGGGTACGTAGTGGCATTTACACTGTAGTGTATCAAACATATCATAACATGAATTCATCTCAACCATTCTCCTTCATCCCCCCTCCACACCTTTCCCCAAGTAGTTTCCCTGGAGTAGTTTAAATAGGTATCATTTCTGCATTTACTTACATGTGTACACATTTTCTTATACCATATTCACCCTCCTACCCCTTTTCCTCAACACCTCCTCCCTCCCATGGGTGCCAGCCCTCCCCACTGGGCAGGACTTACTCTGCCCTCCTGTTCTCCAATTTTGTAGGAGAAAAAAGAGAAAAGATTAAACAAAAAACATGACATTTTAGCTCCAGATGAAACTCCGGAGAGTTTCCTTATAATATTTCCATGTATGTATGTGTTATAACCTCAATTGGTTTATATCTTCTAGTTTTCTTTATTCTGCCTTAGTCCCTTTCTTATGGTATAAACTTCTTTTTTAAGATTCTATATGAATTTTAGGGTGAGTTTTCCTGTTTCTGTAAAAGAAATGTTACAGATATTTTCATCAGGATTATATTGAATCTGTAGATTGCTTTTGGTAGTATTGATATCTTGATAATAGTATTAACTCTTCCTGTTCAGCAACATGGGATATCTATGCATTTATTTGTGTTGTCTTCAATTTTTTGCAGCAATGTTTTGTAGGTTTTGGGTTTTTTCTTTTTTTGGTGGTATGGGGGTTTAAACTCAGGACTTCATGCTTGATAGGCAGGTGCTCTACCACTTGGGCCACTCCACCAGTCCTTTTTCATGTTAGTTTGGAGATAGTCTTGAGAACTATTTCCTTGGTCTAGCTTTGAACTGTGATCCTCCTGATCTCTGACTCCTGAGTAGCTAGGATAATAGGCTGAGCCCAGCCATTTTATAATTTTTAGTGTAGAAGTCTTTAACCTCTTGGTTAGGTTTATTGCTAAGTATTTTATTATTTTTGATGCTATTGTACGTAGAATTTTTTTTTAATTTCATCTTCTGAATTAATCATTGTTAGTAAAGAGAAACACATCTGACTTTGTGTGTTGATTTTGTGTCTTGAAACATTGCTAAATTTGATTTTTAGTTCTAAAAGGTTTCTTGTGCCCTCTTGGTGGTGGTATTGTGTGGCATGTAGGTTTGATGTGGATCTTTCTGATAGTATTTTTGTTTTCTTAATGAGTAGATACCTAAACACTAATCTATGTTAATGCCCAAGATACTCACATATGTATAATAACTGGATTAGATGTAATTTTCCTTTTTCGACTATATTTCTTCCTTTTTTTTTTTTTTTTGATGGTGATACTGGGGTTGAACTCAGGTCCTCACACTTGCCAGGCAGGCTCTCTACCACTTGAGCACTCCACCAGCCCTATAGTTCTTACATGCAAAAGAATCTGAGGAATACCTAGCCGTGGGTTAATTTCCAATACTGAGGAAGAAAACACTTCAAAGGACTATAAAATACTACAAAAAATATCTCTGTCATGCACACTTGGGAAGAGCCCATTATAGCATAGTTCAGAGTTCAGCAGGAATTTCTGTGGATTTATATCCACTTAAGAGGACAAAATTTTTGTGTATGTATACTGTATAGGAGGCTTCTCCTATGCAAAACTGGGATATAAATTATCACCCAGTTTTAATCTTCTGATGGTCTTATTTCAAATGGGGGGGACCTTATGTCCTGACTGAAGTAAGCCAATCCTGGCCAAATCTTTCTTTTGTCTTTCTTAAGCGCTGTGTCAGTCCTTCAGAATTAAACTATGGAAAGTGTCTTATCCAAAATTAGATGGGTCTCTTTACCTTGCTAGGAAAATTTTAACAGTCAATAAAACAAGGAAATGGAATTATTTAACTGCACAAGAACTGTACTAAGCTTATCAAATATCTGTATATCCAGTTTCAGAATAAGAGACAGCATTTATAGGGCTGGGGATGTAACTCAGTGGTAGAGCACTTGGCTGGCATGCACAAGACCCTGAGTTCCACCCCCAGCACTACAAAAAAAAAAAAAAAAGTTTGGAGGAGAGCATTAAGGACAACTTGAGCAATCTACCACAGCACTAGACATACATAAATTGCTCTTGTTCAAGGTGGGAAAAATGGAGACGAAAATAAGCATTAGATAAGATCGAGTGCGTTCAGGTGGTTTGACTGTAGACAAAAATCAAGCATTAGAAAGGGAGATGTTCCTGCTAAGCACTAAGAAGAAACTCTTAGAAGAACTCATATTGTGTGGGCAGGACATTTTTAAAGAAAACATTGCCTTAGTTTTTATTTATTTCTATCTTTTTCCACAAAGGACTTGAAGTGGTTCAGGAAATCATGTTATATGAAAAAAAGCCCAACATAAAAGAGTGGAAGAGAACGAAGGGTACAATAGCAGGAAAGAAAAACAAACGTATTTGGTAACACAATAAATTGAAATTATAGTGAAAGTATAGGAATACTCCCAGGACATATGAAAACTTTTTTTAAAAATGAAAAATCTGAATAGGCGATATAAATATCTTACAAAGATAAAACCTTGAATAATAGCTTTTTCTAAAAAAGAAAATAAAGCAAGTAGATAAATAATAATGCCTGGTTTCATAGGCAAACATTTTTGTACCCTGAAGAAGAATTAGATTAAATGAATAAAGTGAGGCCAATCTGAAAGTCTTAGTTTTCAAATTTTAAGAAAAAGAAGACTCATACAAACATTTAAGTATGAAAGGACAACAAAAATCATGGTGATCTTCGGTTTCTCCTCTAGTTAATAGAGCAGTCATTATAAAAGTTCAATAGACACAGACCAAGACTAAATGATTTAATGCCTAGACGATCCCATCAGGTTTGCTACTCTCATTAATAAACTGAGTTTTCCCTTCTGCATTAATTGGAAGAATTCATTATGAAATACATCTGGGCATGGAAGGTTTTTGTTTTGTTTTAAGACAGGGTTTCTCTGTACAGCCCATACTCCTCTCAGAGCTTATTATCTTCCTTGCCTCAGCCTCCCAAATGGTGGGGTGATAGTTTTGCACCACACCCAACTTCAAAATATATTTTCTTAAGTGCAGCAAAAGATTTTGAATAGACATGACTCTAAAGGAGAGGATATATGGCAAACAAGCATGTGAAAAACTAGGATTTTGAACTACATACTAAACCTCTATAGGTCTTCTGGTTCCAGAGGGTTTTTAACTCATTTTTGAATTCAAAATAATTTTACTAATTTGTTGTTCATCTTGGAAGATCTATTATCTTGGATCCTTCGTCCCCATGTGAATGATATTTCTGCCTGCCAGGTAGACAAGGTGGGCTGGTGGATGGTGTCTAGAATAAGGAGGAGGCTGTCTCTCATCTTAGGAGTTATGAAATGACCAAGGCTGTTCTGGACCAGGCAGAGTCACCACTGAGTGTTCTTTCCCAAAGCTGCACTTTTATAGGCTGCTTAGAGAATTAAATGTTACCTTTCCTTACATTTAGATATTTTATTATAGTCCTCTATTAGTGTGTGCTTAAAATGGTCCTGAGGACCAGTCTAATTCTTTTTTTGACACTATTGCTCCTCCTAGTGATAAATGTCTTACTGGCATAAGTAATTTTGGCAGAATTTACAGCTATAAATAATCAGAAAAAGAGACTTGAACTTTAGATGGTCTGATGATTTCTATTTAGGAATCTGTACTGCTGGAACACTCTTTCAGTGCTGTAAAACAAGAGCAGCAGAACAAATGGATCGAAGAGTTGAAGAAACAAACAGAAAATGACCAACAAAGGAAAACAGGGGAAAAAATTATGTATTCAAAGGTAATGAATGAGGCTTTACAGCCATACTGGGGGAATAAATTTTTGTTGTTGTTGTTTTTGGTAGTACTGTGGATTTAACTCAGGTCTAGTGCTCTGCCACTTGATCCACACTCCCAGCTTCAAAGTCTTTTAATTACATAAATTTACAAGTATTCTGAAACTTCTTGACAAGCACGGAGTACTCCAGTTCCACATTGGCCATGTGAACATGTTGGCATTAAATGCATTTAGTGTGATTTTGCATAGCTTCTTTAAACTTCTTAGTAATTTCCCAATTCTTTGAGTTTTTCATTTTCCAAGCTAGGATTCAAAACAACATAATTTTGTTACACTTATTTTTGTTCTGTAGTGACTTTTAGAAATCATGTTTATCTTTTAGGATTTTGTGTGGGAATAATTGGAAAATTTCTTAGCAATTCTTATTTGTCACAAATAGAGTGAGGAGAATGACAGATGGGCAACGCATTTTGATTTATTAAAGAGTCATCCTGGTTCTCAGTCTTGGCTGTCATCTCAGTTAACACAGAAACACCCAGAGTACTTCTGTGTCTCTCCTGACACTCAGAAGCTGGCTGATGTCAGCAATGCTTATACACTTACTCCTGGAAGCCAGGTTGAATCATCAGAGGAAGAGCATATAGCAAAACCTCTTAGCAATGTAGCTGTGGCAAACAGTCAGAAAACAAAGTAAGTTCATTCTTTAATTTTATTGATTTTTTAAGAAAGCATGTGTGTTGTAATAGAACTGTTAGTATGTGTAATTGTTTTCAAGTTTGGTGTTTTTGTTTGAAATAGAAATGATTAGTAGATGTATCTGAAGTAGAAATTACTTATTTTGTTGAACCTTCCTTTTGGGGGGTTTTGAATAGCTAATGCCTGTATCTTGCCAGCTTTCTCCGTTCTATGACTGCTCTCTTGGACCCAGCACAGATTGAGGAACGGGACAGACGGCGACAAAAACAGTTAGAACATCAGGTATAACATTGTAAAACATTCTTTTTTGCCTTAATTGGTGATAGTCATGGCCAACATAAACCTACATAAATAGAAATTAAAATTCTGGTATAAATTTACAGTACAGGTCCTGTTCAATCTTGTGACAGTCCAAACCCACTGCAGCTAGCATTATGCTAGCATTAAGTTTATGCTGAAAACCAGTGTCACGTACTACAGCTACCTGCCTTCCAAGAGTCTTTAACATATAAGTTGTATATATGGATTTGTATTGTTTTTAGGTTAGTGTTGGTTATTTTTTCATCAATTTATTTCCCCAGAGTTCTGTAGAGTCTGAACATTATTTCTTTGAAAGGGAACAATATAGGGAATTAAAGTAGAATTTTAAGAATCTAGCAGATAATATAAGAAGTTAAGATTAAAAATCCCAATTTTAGTCTGATAGGTAAGGGGACTTAATGTCTGAATAATTTTTTGTGGTGATTTTTTTCCCTGAAATCTGAACTTTTTTGTTTTGTTGTGTATGTGTGTTTATGTTGCCCACGCTGCTCTTGAGCTCCTGGGCTCAAGCCATCCTGCCACCTCAGCCTCCTGAGTGGCTGGGACTACAGTTAGTCACTAGGCAGGCACCACTGTGTTCAGTTGAATGATTCTTTAAACCCTTTGATACCTGAATAGTTTAGCATAGTTAATGTTACTCTTACTTGATTCAGTGAAAAATTCAGAGCATCTGCCACTTTCCATGCAGTGAGATTATTTCTTCAATTTTTTTGTTCTTGTGGTACTGGGGATTTGAATCCAAGGCCTTGTGTATGGTAGTTAAGCACTGTACCAGTGAGCTGCGTCTCCAGTTCCCTTCAGGTACCTGGTTTTTCTGTTCTTGTCACAGCCCATGTGGGGTTGAAGAAAAGGCATGTAGAGCTTGAATGGACAAATGAAAGATGAAATGCATTACAAGTTTGACATTTTAACTTTACTCACATGTGTAGTATGTACTGTGTACAATACTGTAATACTGATAAAATTTTATTCTCATCTCTAAAACAAAGGCTGCATGGATTATTTGTGACAGTGATTTATGTGGTTATTTATGACTAGAAAGCAATCACTGCTCAAGTAGAAGAGAAGCGCAGAAAAAAGCAACTGGAAGAAGAACAAAGAAGGAAGGAAGAACAAGAGGAGGACCAGCGCTTAGCACAAGAACGAGAACAGATGCAGAAACAGTATGAAGAAGACATACTTAAGCAAAAACAAAAGGAAGTAAGTATTTAACTGTTAACATATTAGAATAACAATGGGATTTTTTGTTGTTTTTTTTGCAGGGTCTTGAGCTTGCTAGGCAAGCACTCTACCACTTGAGTCAGGCCCCGAGCCCTTTTTACTTTAAAAGGCATTTTCCAAGCACTGGCTTTTGGGTTTTCACATTCCTTTTTAAATGTATCAGAATTCATACTGTACAGTGAGTTTTGCATCTGTTAGTCTGTGTGCTGCAGGGTCTTGTGTTTATGCTCCATGCCCTGGCTGGCCTGCACCACGATCCTCCTATTTATGCTTCCCTTGGAGTCAGGATGACAGGCGCACCACCATTCTTGGCTTTTACTGGTCGAGATGTAGGTGTTGGGAAATTTTTTGCTTGGACTGGCCTCATCGGCCTCTCATTTCCACCTGTCCAGTGGGTAACTAGGATTTATAGGTGCTAGCCACTGTACTCGGCTTAGTGTATGTATTTTTAGAGAAAAAATAAATTAGAAGTTGAACATCTGCATTTATTTTAAAATTGTGAAACTGTAGGAGACATTAAATTTTTTAACAAAAAAAAGGTATGGAAGTAAGAGAAGCTTGAGGTTTTATTTTCTCACGAAGTTCTCAAACATTCTGTTGTTTTGGTCTTTGTGCAAAGAGAGAAGAGGTCACGATGAATCATAGCACAAAGCTAAAGCTTTAGCACAAAGCTAAAGCTTATCCATGTGCATAATTGTGGTCTAGATACTAGGGGTTTGTGTAATTAATTTCTAAGCAATGATTGTATTGATAATTCTAAGTATAAGAGAAATGATTGTCCTTTCTATCCATATCTACCTGTTAAGAGAAGCATTCTTTTGTAGTGATTGACTGGCATTGATGATACAGTCTGTAACTATAGTAGTAGTTTCATCTGAGCAAAGTAACAGCCTTTTTAAAAAAGTCAGTATCTGGTTCACTACAAAACCTCACCCTTCCACCATTCAGTGCTTCAGATATAGAATAGTGTCATGTGCCGTGTTTTGACAGAGAGATTATAGTGACATTCAGTTGCCAAAGATTAAAGGTGTAGAACATTTTCTTGCCTTTTCCCACTTTGGCACTCTTCACTCTAAAACTGGCTGGTGTGTGATCTGGGTTCCAATTTCATTGTGTTAAATTGGCTCAGGCAGCCACCCTTTTGTGATAACCATATGTACATGAGAAAATCAAAGTATCATTTGCTTACATGGCAAATAGCCAGAAATGCTGTGGTTTGAGTAATTTTTATTTATTTATTTTTTGGTGGTTCTGAAGTTTGAATTCAGGGTTTAGTAAACTTAAAATACGTAAAGAATTCTTTTGTGATTTAATACAATTGAAGAAAAACATGCTAGAGTGCAGGGTCCAGAAGGGCAGAAACTTTGCCCTCTTTGCTGTTTTGTCATTAGCATCTAGACTAGTGCCAGACTGTACACAGGAAAAGCTTAGAAAGTATTTACTGAGACTAGTCAAGTGTGTATATGCTTGATAATTGTATTTAATAACTCTGTTCTTGTCAATATTGATAGGAAACCATGACTCTCAAGACAAATGAGCTATTCCAGAAAATGCAGAGAGCACAGGAGTTGGCACAGAGACTGAAACAAGAACAGAGAATCCGAGAATTGGCTCAAAAGGGACATGACACTTCTAGATTGATTAAAAATCTCGGTGGTAGGTGATGAATCAGAATAACTTTTTTGAAGATAACTTTTTAAAGTTGCTTATTTTTAATACCTTTATTATACCTGACAAGTAAATACTTCTAAAGAAATTTTAGCTTTTCAGCTAACCTAACTTTGTTTTTGTTTTGCTGGTATTGGGATTTAAACTTAGAGCCTTCACTTGCTTGGCATATACCCTACCATTTGACCACACCCAGAGCCCTCAGCTAACCTAATTATAATAGGAATGTTTATTTTATTTAGGAAGTTGTTTTAAAAGTAGAAGTAAGAGATGATGGTGGGGGAGAGGGGTGTTTTGGTTTTTTTTTTTTTTTTTTGACACTAGTAGGAGTACGGAGGTGGCAATGTAGGAGGGTGAATATGTTGCAAATAATGTGTACAAATGTATGTAAATGCAAAAATGATACCTGTTGAAACTTCCAGGAATCAGGGGAGGAGGGGATAAAGGAGAGCCAGTGGAAGGGGTGAATTGAAGTATGCTACATTTGATACATTGTAATAACCTTTGTAAATGCTACAGTATACCCCCACCCAGCACAATAAAGGAAAAAAATGAAAATTCTAAAAGAAATGGCTTTGTGGCTCATGTGCTTGCCTAGCAAGAATGAGGCCCTGAGTTCAAATGCAGTACTCCCCCGATCCTCCCTATAAAAATAGAAGTAATGCTACACTTTTCAGTATCTTTTGCCTATAAATGTTCTTATGTATTGCTCACAGCAATCCTGGCCCTAATAGAATAGGTACTTCTGTATACATTTTTACAAAGAAAGCACTTAGTGATCTCCCTAAATTCAGTAAGGGCTAAGAATGCAAACAACTTTGTGTTAAAAAAAAAAAAAAAAAGAAAAACACTTAGGCTAGCCTTTAGACATTTTTATTGCATTATTCATTCCGGTTAAGTAAAAGTCTTTTGTGTTGCTGCCATACATACATTTTTCATTTTCTTGGCAGTGCTAGGGATCAAACCCAGGGCCTTGCATGATAAGGAAGCACTTTCTACAACTGAGCTATATCCTAAGACCCCTATACATAATTTTTATTTATAATTCTTAAGTATTATTTTAACAATTTATTTCTCATTGCCAGTTGACACAATGCAAGTGGATTATAAGGCATGCACTAACATTCCTAACTCAAGATATGATGCTGATGAAATTGGTGTAAAAATGAATACATGTGTCAATTCTCCTATAGCCTCTCCTAAGAAGGATACTGGTGTACAAACAGGTATTCAGATATGTAGAAATTATGATTTAAAACTTACTTAAAATTACAAAGAATTAGCACTGAGTCCATTTCAAGTGTAAAGATTTGATATTTTTAAGAAAATAATTTATGTCTTGATTTTTAACTTTTTCTAACATCATATTGAATCACACAACACAATTTAGTGCTCCCCCTCCCCCTTTGTGGTGCTGGTGCCCAGGCTTGGCAAGCGCTTTATCACTGAACTACAGATCCAACCCGAAATTTACTCTTTTAGAGGCACAATTTGGTGTTTTCACCAAACCTAGTAACCAATTAGCAGTCACTCTATTTCCCTCTTCCAGTTCACTTTTGTTGGAATATTTGCCTTTTCTAGACATTTCATGTTGCTGGAATCGTACCGTATGTGGTCTTTTCTGTCTGGCTACTCTGACTCAGCATAATGCTTTAAGGTTCATCCTTGTAGCTGTATCAATACATTTTTCCTTTTTATTCCTGAGTAATGTTCTATTGAATGGACAGTTTCACATTCTGCGAAGTTCTTTAATAATTTGATGGACATTTGGGTTATTTCCCCTTTTTGGCTATTGTGAATAATGCTGCCATGTATAATGTTTTTGTGTGATGAGTCTGTTTTCAGTTGTTGGGAAAAAAATAGAATTGCTGAGTCATGTGACAAAATTAAGCATTTTGAGGAACTACCAAACTGTCCTCCAAAATATTTTTGTCCATCAAAATATAGGAGTGTTCTAATTTACATTTTCCTAGTGACATTGTTTCATGTGCAATAGCCATCTTTTTCATTATCATAGGTCTCTGCTTATTATGAATCCCTTCAGCCTTCCATCTGTTTTTTAAAAAAAAAAAATTGAGGCAGGTTTTGCTGTGTTGCTTGCGTGGGTTTCGGGTGATCCTCCTGCCTTATTAGCCTTCTCAGTAATTGGTACTACAGGTATGTACCACCACACCTGGGTTTTGTTTTTTCCCCCCAGGCAGTCATTTTACCTCTTCACTTTCAAAACACTAGTAAAGGGGACCTTCCTATTGGTACTTGTGGTCCTTGCCCCCAAAGACCACAAAAACCAATTTAGCTGACCACAGGGTAGGAATAGTTTTGTATGAGCCACTTGAGTTGGGTAGCCTCAAACCCAAAATGTCTTAAGGCAGTTCTCCTAACACTGCACTACTTCCTGACTTCAATACCAGATTAACCATATCATATGAAGTAGATGGTGATTATATGGCACCACTGAAATGCATACTTAAGAACTGTTAAAATGTGGCCGGTCATCAGTAGCTCACGCCTGCAATCCTAGCTGCTCAGGAGGCAGAGATGAGGAGGATGGAGGTTCAAAGCCAGCCTAGGCAAATAGTTTGGGCACAAATAAAGGCCTGGTGGAATGGCCCAAGTGTAGAGCTCCTACCTGCCTAGCAAGCATGAGGCCCTGAATTCAAGCTCCAGTAGTGCCAAAAAGTGGAGGTTTGGAGGAATTAATGTAAAATTTTGTACTTGCTGTAGAAAGTATTATAGTTCTTCAAAAAATTAAGAACAGGATGAAAAAGATTTAAACATAAGGTGTCAGATACTAGATAGCTTTATTCATAGCAGCATTATTTATAATAGTCAAAAAAGTAAAAGCGGCAGGGTATCAGCGGCTCATGCCTATAGTCCTAGCTATTGGGAGGCAGCACTCAGGAGGATCAAGGTTTCAAGGCCAGCCTGAGCAAAAAAAAGCAAGACCCTATTTCAAAAATATCCAAATAAAAGAGCCGGTGGAGTGGCTCAGCTAGCAAGTGTAAGACCGAGTTCAAACCTTTACCCTCGCCCCCCCCAAAAAGTAAAAGCAACCTAAGTGTCTATGCACAGATGAATGAACAAAAAAAAAAATGTGTTATATATACTAAGAAAATTGACACATGGCAAAACATGGATGAACTTTGAGGACTTTGTGGCAAGTAATAAGCCAGTTACAAAACAGTATGACTCCCTTTACATGGGGCTAGTCTAGAAAAGTCAGTTTATGGAAATACAACATAGAATAGTTGTTGCCAGTGGGAGAAGGGGTGATTTGGCTGTTCTTTAATGGTTATAGAGGGTAACTAATAAAAATTAATATTGGAAGAATGATAAAGTGATAAACTATTATGTATTCTATGGTTTTAAAAAATTATTTGAAATTTTTTTTAGATAACGTCAATACAGGAATTTGCACCAATGTAGAATCACACTGTGGGTCAGTAATAGAAAGGGAAATTATAAATTGTTCATCTCCTGAGATTTCTTCAGAATTTAATGGACAGTTTACCACTAAAAATGACAAGGAAGAAGTCAGTCAGGATAGAGGAGCCAACTTGGAAAATGGAAATAGTTGGTGTAATAACCAGTTCATAAGAACAGAGATGCAAACAAAGCTCATGAAGAAATGTCCTAAAAGGCTTGACTGGAACATAAATAAGCCTCTCAAAAGGTATGTCCCAGCATCAGAAAAGTACCCTAAGGAGCTTCAAAAGCAGAGAGAAGAAAAAAAGGTAAGAAGGCAGATGGAACTGCTTCATTTGGTAGAGAGAAACAATCCTGAACACCTTTCTCAAAATAGAGGCACTTCACCAGAAATTCTTCATTCATCTCATCCAGAAGCTGAGTCAAAGATCAGGTGGCTTCCAGTCAAGGTAAAGCTCTTTTATCACATTTTAAAGAATCCATTGATGTTTCTAAATTGAAAACACAATTCCCTATGTGCATGTTTTTTTGTTTTGTTTTGTTTTTGTGGCGGGGCTTCAACTCAGGGCCTGCACTCCATCAGCCATTTTTTGTGGTATGTTTTTTCGAGATAGGGTCTCATGAAGTATTTGCCCCAGGCTGGCTTTGAACTGTGATCCTTCTGATTTCTGCCTCCTCAGTAGTTGTGCCCTGCTATAACCATGTTTTATGAATTGTCTATGAGTGGTTTTTTTAGCTACAACAGAAACACAAATGGTCCAAAAAGCTGAAAATTACCTGGTTATTTAATCACTTCTCTAGAAGAAAGAGTGCTATTCTTCATTCAAATTGGGCATGGTGTAATCCCAGCTCCTTGGAGACAGAATAGTGATTTAAGGCCAGTCTAAGGGAGACCTTATCTGAAAAGCAAGCCAGGTGTAGTGGTACATGCCCATATAATCCCAACTAAGGCCAGCTGGGGAAAAGTTTATGTTTGCAAAACTAAAAAAAGCAGTAGAGACATGGCTCAATCCCCAGCACCACAGGGGAAGGGAGACGACCTTTTTTTAGCCAGCTGTGGTCGTACATACCTGAAATCTCAGCATTTCGACCACAAGTTCGAGGCCATCCTGAGCTACATAGAAAAATCTTGTCTGACACTGTCCAATTTGGGAGATTAAGAATTTTTGGGTTGGTCTGATACTAAATGTCTCTTATTTCATTTATCTACTGTCTGGTATTCAGATTATTTTGGCAATTAACCGTTAAAAGTATCTGTGATGACATTTAGAAATGCTATATACTTACTCCTTTTTACATTTTCTATCTCTTTTAGGAAGAAGCAGCTCTGAAAATTCATTCATTCAGTAAGGAAAGGTATGTGGCTACTTAGTGCTTTCTGTGTGAGACTAAAGAGATACAAAAGTCTAGGTGTATATATCTAGGTACATAGATATATGAATGCACGAACAGGAGTATGGCTTCCAGATGCAAGGTAGAGATTAAGGGATAGCTATACTGGGTCTAAATACTTTTGATTTTCTAGGTGCATCAACACTGGAAAAGGCCTTGTACTTGGATTTAAGTGGTGGGGAGGAAAAGAAGTTAATCCCATGTTTTTGTGCATGAACCAGCTTAAAAGAGTTATCTGAGAATGAGCAAACTTAGTTCAGTTGATGAGGACATTAATTTACAGGACAGACTTAAATTAGCCCAGCCTAATGGTAATAGATCCTTAGGGTCTAGCAATTTAATTTTTCCCCTTATACTGAAATACATATATTTAGCTAGTACTAATAAAAACTCAAATTATACCCTGACATCAGGTTACCATACTTGGTTGACATTGTTAAAGGTGTTACTGGTATATCTTGAATAAATTGAAATGTGATTAACAGTAGATGTGTTTAATCTAAAATATACAAGTTATTAAAGCTTCTCAGTTTGTTATTGTACTTTTTTAATAAATAGGTTACAATCATCACCAGTTCCAGCAGTAAAAAACAGAACCCAACAAACTCAAACTAACACATTATACTTACCCCTAAGAAAAAGTAGCTACGAAAGAGAGACTCTGATTGCAGAAGGTGGTCAAACAGAATTGTCATCTGGGATGTCTGAACCATCCCATTTTATTCCGTATGTTCGAACAAATGAGATCTATTACCTCGATCCAGATGCACCACTGTCTAGGCCTTCCACTCAGGACACTCAGTTCCAAAATCCTCATGGTAAGTAAACCACCTCTTCTATAAAAACGAGAAGTGGGTGTAAAGACCCCAACCCCTCAATTTACTTCAAAGTTAGTAATCTGAGGTGGAGAGAAGCTGGTGCTTTCCTAGGATATAAATTAATGAATCCTTAGAATACTACAGCAAATTATTACAAACATTTAACTTGTATAAATTTTATCTGGTTTCAGATTGTGACCAAGAACAAAGACAGCTGTTTGACTCTGCCCATGTCAGGGATCCACTTCTTAATCCTAATTTGGTGAAAAACAGGGATCGACAGCAGGCAATCCTTAAGGGACTTTCAGAACTACGACAGGTATGAGGTTTTGACAAATGAAGTGGGACTTGCCTTGGATTATTATGAATGTTCCTTGGCTAGACGTGCACACCTGTAATCCCAGCACTGGTGAGGCAGGAGAATCATAGGTATAAGAACCTGTCTCAAAGTTTTTTCCAGTATGAAATCATAAGACAGTTGAGTACTAAGAAAACTTTATTGAATAAAAAATATGTACACTTGAACATGAAAACATAGTAAAGCCCTAAAACTAACCACAAAATAACAATGACATTAAATGAACTTTTAACCATTGTGGATCCATGCTTTTAAAAAACTGTGTTGGCAGTTTAGAACAGAATATCCATGTCTGTTCCGGAGACACTATTTATGTGAAATATAACAGTATCAGACATTTTCTCCCAGAACAATTACAAGTTTGTATCAAAATCAGATAAACGTGTAATATTTATGATTTTGTTGAAATGTACGCATGGACTTTTTAGTTTTGCAGCTGGCTTTGATTCAGTTTGTGTTTGGGAAAATTTGGTTCATGTATTACTTAACCTGTCCCTTAGCGCTAGAAAATCATCCCTATTCTGGCCCCTAATACAAGGATACTATGGAAGTGTCCTTTAAATGCTACCTCTGGTTACACATAGCTTGAGAGTTATGCAATTCAGCCTTGGTAATTTACAAAAGTTTCGAGGGTAGAAGGACTATGATGTTAAGGGAGACTTCTTCGATGTCTTTTAAGAGCACTTGGGAGAGGAGTTCATCTTAGCCCCAGATATTTAATAAAAGTTATTCCTGTTTTTATGCTAAATTTTAAGAACTGCATAATGTCCACAGAAAACTTCAAGAATTATTGATAATTTTGATCAAAGCTGAAATTAATACATAAATAAGCTAGAAATAACTTCCAAGTTGGCTGTACATCTTACTAAAGTATCAATGTGATTTCAGGGCCTTCTCCAGAAGCAAAAGGAGTTGGAAACTAATCTGATGCCTTTAGCTGCAAATCAAGAAGAGAATTTTAGTTCTTCATTTTAAATGTAGAAAGTGTCTTCCACATGATTAAAAAGTGATCATTCAACTGTGTTTTTTTAAATACCCTAGACTTATTTTTCAAATGCTAATTTAAAACTTGTACATAATGTAGTAAAATGTTGTCTTTTAAAACTACAATAAAAGACTTGCATAAAAGCTTGAGTAGTAAAAAAAAAAATTTTGTTACATTAAGTCCTGTAAAAACTCTACTTACCTGACTTAAGTGTTTGTTCATACATACTACTCATGCATTTTGTTGTGTAAAGAACATTACACTTTTACTGAACTTCAGATTACTTTTCAAAACATGAGAGTTAGCATTACTAATTGCAGGCAGTAAGTACATTAAAGGCTTGAAATCTATCTCCTCCCTATATTTTATCTGTATAGCACTAAGGTGCTTAATAAATGATAATTAACTCTAATTTAGGGCCATCTCAAAAATACACATCCATTTTGTGTAAGACTAACAATTTAAAGCCCACTTTGGGCAAAAAGTTTGTAAACAGAAAAAGTTGGGTGTGATGGCGCAATGCTGGTCTTCCCAAGCATAAAAAGGAGAGCAGTCTGTCTAGGTGAGCCAGGCAAAATATAAAAAGGGCTGAAGGCCTGGCTCAAGTGGTAAGAGTAATGATAGAGTAATCAAAGCCCTGAGTTGAAACCCCAGTACCAATCAAAAAAAAAAAAAAAAAAAAGTGCTCCCAATTGTGCAATGTCTTTCTTTGATAAACAAGTCCTGTTTTTTTAAAAAAATTATAATTATCAAATACCTCAAAAACTTCAATGAGGCAAATTTTTACATGGCTCAATCTGAAGATTAAAAAATCATGCTGCTTGATGCTAAGTCTTATGTATGTATGTTTATTACCTAGGATGAAACTGCATTGTTTGTTTGTTAGATACATCTTGAAGTGCTGAGCCAAAATCCTATAAATATTAGTATCACTAGCTTATACCTGTGTAAAAACACTATACAAAAGCTTTAATGAAAATAAATAGTTGACAATTTGTTTCAGCAAAAGTAGTTTTTATCATTTGACAGGAAGAAAAGTAAAGCCATTGTAATTTACCATCCTTCTATTAACATCTAATTTTACATATAAAACAGACTTCAATTTGAAGCCCAAGTACAAGTAACAAATGTAAAACTTAAAAGTGCCAACATGAGATAATTCAAGTACAATATATGTTAAAAATATATATATATTTATTTCAATTTTCAGATGCTTCAAATGTTACAGGCCATCATGATTTAAATAAGAGGAAAAAACATTTTAGAAAGGATAAGAAACCTTTAGAGAATGAAATATAAATTGTTAATTCACTTTTAAGAAACAGAAACAAAAGTCCACAATAGCCTTATAAAAAGAAGTTACTGTAATAATGATCATTTTTTCCCTTAACTTAATGGAGATTTCTATCAAAGCTTTTTGTAAGCAGACAGAAATTTTCTTTTTCTTGAGACTGACTTGATGAAAGGGCATATGGTGTCCCCAAAAATGTCTGGTGAGTGAGAACATTAAAATGACTAAACTGATGGGACATATTTAATTGATTTTGGTAAACCTGAAAGTTGCTATATGAATCTTGTTCTGAATTGCTGTCCTCTCCTTCAGAGCATACTATATCAATAGGAGCTCTGTCTTCACAATCAATTTGGTAAGTCTTATCTTCTAATAAACTTTTTTGCACGTCAAGAGACGATTGCAATTCAATTTGAATATTCTTTTTTTGATCTGTTCCACTTGATCCTTTGGTCTGTTTCGCCAATATTTCTGAATGAAAATTGCTGAATACTTCTATATGTGAGATTTCATCCCCTGAATCCAGAGACATATCCTCTTCATCCTTTTCATCGTTTTCTAAAAGAGCTACATTTAAAAAACAAAAAGTCCTCCTCTATTGAAATACACAATTTGTTTAAGTTTTAAAATTATACACTACTCACACAATATAACGCGTCAGGATCTGCAAGTCCACAATCCCTTAAAGCTTGGTCTTCTGCCACAAGTTCACTTAGTCACAACACTCACACTAGGTGTGAATGTCCAGATAATCCGATGCTAAAAGCTTCTGCGAAATGTGTTCACGTTTAATGTTGGGAAATCCCAACTCCCAGCTCCAAAGGGGTTAATGTCAAAACAGCATCTAAAGTTATACGGTAATTCAGTATTTCACAAGACAAATAAAAAATAAAAATTTTGACATGTAGCTTCACTGGATCACTAAACTAGTTAGCTCTAGCATCTATCTGATCATCTCTGCTTTTCACCAAAAACAGTATTTAAGTACAGCTTTCATTTACATAGTCTGGAACCAGAGCAGAGGCCATCTCACAGGAGACTGAGGCTATGATATCCCTACTATCTTGTAATTAAATTGCTTCTGGCATCTGAGGAGATTTAGTAGCCCAATGCTAAATCCCCATATCTGGCTTCCTACTTTTGTTAATAAAACCCCTTTGCTGACAACAGCAGTCAATAAAGCTTACATACCTTCAGAGACAAAATGCATATTCCAGAGTATGCACAGCCCACAGTAAAGACAGAAATGCATATAGCCTTATAGTAACTAACAACCTGTATTGACTACCGTATAATAAATCAGCAGATCTTCTACATGCTAAGTCCTAGAATGGTAAATGCCTCAAAAACACTAACACTAAGACTGTTTACACTGAAGAGGATGGTTTCAAAATAAGCATTTCACTATTTGCTTAGCAAACAAAACCACTCCTTCTGCCTTAAAGAAAAATGAAAACTACTGAAAAGTTACCTGACTGTGACTCAAGATTCTCATTAGCACCAAGCACTGGAACGTTTTCTTCTGTGATTAAGTTGTGATAGCCCACAAGATTTTTAAAGTTTTGCATAAAGTCTTCAGCACTTGCAACTACTATTCCATTATCTGTATAACTGGAAAGTATCTTGATACTCTTCTCTAAAAAGAAAAAAAAAAAAAAACTTCAAGTATAAAGCACTTGTAAGTATATATGGACAAATGATGGTGCCCGCCCTCAACAAGACCCTTTACTTCACGTGTTCAGAATTATCTCAACACCCATTCCAACTGCTCAAAATTCTTTCATCCACATTCCTATCTATATTCATGGTAGAAAACTTAAGTGTACTCGCTTTACCTGTTAAAAAGACTATGTGTCGTTGTTGTATGTTCTGAGCCTGAAGTCTGATAAGGCAATCCAACTCTGGAGCATTTCGAGTTTGTGAATCACAATTGTGGTATGACAAAATTTCAACCAGATGTCTCTTCTGGTAGACATTCAAAAGTGTCAACAGACTTAGAGCTTTAGTATTCAATCTGTGAAATTAAACAGAGTTTGCTTTAGATTAAAACCCTAACTTCTACATTGAGGAAGCTAATGACAACAGCACTGTGCTTATTACTTCACAGCCTAATGTAAGGATGCTTCGTAGAAGAAAGGGATAACAGTAATTATGTAATCCCCAAGTAAACCCTGGTGGGTAGGGGGCAGCAAGGGTGGCCCTAGTATATGGCCAGAGGACCTTAGGTTAATATCTCGGCCAGTCTAATAAATTATTTTTTATCTTTATTAATTTTGAACTTTAGTGAAGAACACAAAAGTATGAATCTTCATAAAACAGTATGTAGCTCTAACCCAAGGCAAAGGCAACAACCGATTGAAGGTTAGTTAGGAAGGAAAGTCCTACTATTGAGTTTCAGCTTTGAGTCTCTATAATGTTACGTTTTACAAAGTCAAGAGTTGCCCTATATGCCAGGTGCCAGTGGCTCATTCCTGGCATCCTAGATACTTGGAAGACAGAGATCAGGAGAATCCTGGTTCAAAGCCAGCTTAGGCAAAGACCCTATCTCAAAAATACCAAACACCAAAAAGAGCTGGCAGAGCGGCTCAAGTAGTAGAGGTCCTGACTAGCAAGCATAATCCCTGAGTTCAAAACCCAGTAACACAAACACAAAGAATTGCCCTATGCCTACATGACAGACTTTGAAGTTTTAAAAAAATGAACTGCTATTTAACCCTGAATTTCTGGGAAAATGTGCCATGGAAGGCCAATAGGTATTGCAAAAACAAAAGTTCTGTGATTTGTTTAGGAAATGCTAACTCATACACAATAAAACAAAACCCTTAAGTATACTTTCTGAAATCCTTTAATGTGTTAATTACATTTTATGGACTCTACTAAAAGGACATAGCGTCTCAAGCTCATCACTTCAATTGTATAGTCTCTTAAATGATTAGTGCTGCAAGACACTAATATTTTTAATATGACTTCCAGGCATATTAAAAATCAGAAACATGAATAAGATCAATCCTTGTCTAAGCATGTATGACTCTATCAGATTAGCTACCTAGTGTCCTTCCCTGAGAGAAGGCCTGATCTAGACAGCATATACAGGACAATGGGTCAGAATGCCCATCCAATGCAATTATTCTAGATCCACAAGCAGATTAAAACAATTTTAACTATACATTTAACCTTACCCAATGCCAACCAAACAATCTACACTCCACTCTGACTGGCTATGGACATGTGAAAACAGCACCACCCATAATCCACAAACATGGGAAAAAGAGAAAAAGTAGTTTCATGGGAATGAGTTTAAAGTCAGCAACCATTAATTTTTTTCCAAACCTTACCTGCCCAGTTCCTTTAGTTTTTTCTGGAATTTACAGTGGACTTTCCACTGCCATTTTCCTTCTGGAGTACTAAGTTCTTCAAGGAATGTCAAAAATTTTTTAAGGCTCTCTGTTAGAGACAATGAAGTTCATTTACATTTCAATAAATAATAGTCTACTCCACACCTGAAATGTGAAAGTACCTGTTCTTATATAGAAACATCAACTTTCCTATGTGCTATTTTCATTCTCCCACCCCTAAAGGGAAAGACAGCTCTATAAAAGCCTAAAGCTCTTAAAAATTTAACAGCTACACATTAACAACAACAACAACAAAATGACAATAGCAGTACCAGAAGGAATCCAAGTTTGAGAGCAGGTAACTTTACACCAGATTTACAGGAACGTATTTGAAAAGACTAAGAGAATGGGGAAGAAATTTGAGGTAGTAAAAGCTCAGGAAAAGATGGAAATGTACTAGTTATCAGTGAATGGCACATAAATAGGTAATAAAAAAATACAAGTTCTTAGTTTTACTTTAAACACCCAGAGGAAAAAAAACAAGACATCACATGCTGAAAAGAATGCATTAATCTTACCAATCGTGACAACCTCTGGATTCAGAATTGACTCATCAGACACAATAAAACCTCCAGATACAAATAACTCATTGTACGTATGATTTTTAACATCATCCAGGCTATCAACACCAGCAAAACTAACACAGGGGAGCTTCTTTAAAGTCACCAAGCCAGGTACCTGTGAAATATCCCAACAAAAATAGAAATAAGGAAGGAAAAGGATTCAAGTGTGAAGTAACCTATGAGAAAAAAAAACTAACAAATTGCATTATGGCTCATCTATATTAATATATTGCATCTGGAATGTCACAAAAAAATATTTCCCAAAAATAAAACCGAGAATTTGTGCTAGGAATTTACCATGAAAGGAAGAACACTTAACTATAGAAATTTACAATACTAGCCTATCTCTAACTGATGAATGCAACTCAGTATTCAAAATGGGCAAGTGCCTATCTGCTAGGACACACATGAAAGGCCTAACACTTGAGTTAGGCTTGTAACACCAAATTAGGGTAATACCAAATCCAAGGGATAGAGGGGACTAACTGGTATGGCAAAGAAGTGGCACAAAATAGATTCTGCCCAGACAATTACACATGAGAACAATATAGTTAGCACACACCCTAGCATTTAAGGACTCAGTACTTTTATTAATCTTGGCTAATTTGAGTTTGACAGGGAAGATCTGTGATATACGGAAACCTAAAATTCTACAAAGGAACTGGACACCAGTGGCCAACGCCTATAATCCTAGCTACTTGGGAGGCTGAGATCTGGAATTCAAAAGATTCTATCTCCAAAAACTAGCCAGAGCAAAATGGACTGAAGGCATGGCTAAGTGGCAGAGTACCTGTTTTGCAAGTGTGAAGTCCAGAGTTCAAACCCCAGTCCCACAAAAATAAATAAATTGCAGAGGTATAAATGACACAAACTGATTCACGGACAGGTGCTTGAATATTTATCTTCTTTAAAATGAAGTTTTCAGGGGAGGGGGTGAATTCAACTATGATACATTTGGTACATTGCAAGAACCTTTGTAAATACTCCAATGTACCCCTCACCCAGCACAACAATAATATAATAAAATTTTAAAAAAGGAGTTCTATCTTTTTATCTGTGCACTGGTAACATGCTTGTAGTCCAGGCTACCTCTGAGGCTGAGATCTGGAGTATATCGGTTCAAGGCCAGCCTGGGCACAAAGTTAGTGAGACACAGTGGTGTGTACCTGTCATCACAAATTACTTGGAAGGCTGAGACTGGAAGAATTTTGGTTCTTTGCCAGCTAAGGCAAAAAAGTTTGTGAGATCTCAGTGGGAAAAAAGCTGGGCATGTAGCATGTATATTTCATTCCGGTACCAGTGGGAAACGTAAAATAGGACTGCAGTCCAGACTGGCCTGGGCTTTTTGCAAGACTTTATCTCCAAAATAACCAGAGCATGAAGGGCTGGAGGCATGGCTCAAGTGGTAGAGGGTCTACCTAGCAATCAAAGTTTAATTCAAACCCCAGTACCTCAAAAAGAAAAAAAACAGGTGTGGGGAAGTCCTTTAAAAAAATCAAAATATATAGTGACTGACTTAATAATCTACCTTGTGAATGAAGCCTGCAATGTCTTCATTTTGAATAATAATCAATAGTTTATCTAATTTTGATCTTCTTTCCAAAAACTGTTCTGGATGACATTCTGTATTGCCCAATTTGGTAAGATATTCCTGTTAAAGAAAAACAACTAAATCAACATTGAAAAGCTTTTCTATAAACATCAATTTAACACGTGAAATGCAACATGAACTGGTAAGTTCAACTACATCTAGGACACTCAACTATGAACTTTCACTCTAGGAAACCTCAAAGTTCATCAAATACATTCTTCTCTGATAGAAGAGGAATCAAAAGGTCAAAGTTTCAGCAATCCCACTTTCACAATGTTAAAATGCTATGCAACTAAAGTCAACTAATTTTAAAAATGGATTAGCCCACTCCTGACCCAGCTGTGTTTGTTATTAAGGGAAACCCAGAGCCTAATCATTAACCACTCCCTTTTTCCCTTTTTCTTTTCCTTAAGCAGGCTCATGGTTATTTGCAACAATATTACTGGGATATGCCTCCTTCAGAGTTCTAAAACATTTTTATGACTACAGCTCAAAAAACATTCAATATACAGCTTTCAATATGTACAACAGTATTCACAAGTTAATTAGCCATTTATGCCAAAATAAACTATCCCATCTAACATCTTTCTGAGGACATAGGCAATAAATCCATGGAGAGTTCCCTTTAGTCTTTGTTTGCTGGTAAAATCCTGAACTCTTAAGCAAACTGCAGGATCTTAGAGGTCACATTCCTCATTCCACAGACACAGATTACGTCAAAAAGCCATAATCAAAAGTCAGCTTGCTTTACAACAAGTCCACTGCTCTTTTAAAAGCTGCCAAAAGTGTCACACTTAAAGAAGACATTTTTGTATAATCCTGAACTAAGGCCACATCTCCTTAGACAGAATTTGCTGTAGACTCTGAAGATTCTGGGTTGATACGAGACTAATTTAGAGTAAGTTAATAAAAAGGTAAATTACTGCCTGACAGGCTTGCTGGTGGTTTTGGTCTTTTCACATTAAGTAACTTTAAAGTCAGGGTTTTTGGGAGTCAGTACTGGGCCTCATGCTTGCTAGGGTAGACACATTACCACCTGAGCCACTCCTCCAGCCCTCAAGTTTATTTTTGATAAGGCCTCTTACAATAACAAAAGTCTTGACTACAGAAACACTTAGGAAGTGTAAATTTCTATTCATAGTCTTCTACTCTATTTTTGTTGGAAATTTTCCAATGGACAGTGATCCAATGGACACTGATTAAAAGAATTAAAATTCCAGTCAGGTATGATAGTGCATGCCTATAATCCCAGCACTGGGCTACGTAGTGAGACCGTGTCTAAAGTTCCAATGTGACTTCCTATCAGATGTATAAATTAAACAGTCTCTTATTCTATACAAAGTAAATAATGACAAATATGTTCTATGCTACAATAGACTCAAAGGACCATTCATAAGGAAATGCACTTGTATCCTTTCAATCTAAATGTCACATCTTTGTGTTACAATCCATTAAAAAAGAGGATAGTCAGGCATGCCTGACTGGTATGGTAGGCATGGTAGGGCACGCTTGTAAGTAATTCCAGTGAGACAGTAGGCGAAGGTAGGATCATCATGGTCTAAAGAAGCTGGCCCTAAGCAAAAAGCATGAGGCCCTGTCTGAAAAATAATTAAAGTAGACAATGGCTGAGGATAGGGCTCAAGTGGTAGAACTACTGCCTAGCAAGTGTGAGGCCCTAAGTTCAAATCTCAGTATCACCAAAAAAAAAAAAAAAATGTGGAGGGAGGTGGAGTTAGGCCAAATGCATTAGGAACCATGCCCAATCTATTCTCTCACCTAGCACTAAACCAATGTGCACCTAATGACCCAAAGAGTTCTGTGCTCAGGAACGTGTTGGGGGGTGGGAGGGAAATGGGATAAGAAGTTCTACATTTTATCACACAAAGCAAAAATGCAACCAAGTCTATTTTTATCTTGCAAAGAACCCATAAGGGTCAGTAAGGCAAACACAACTGGACTTTACTGGACTTTAGTACTATGAATCCTCTTTCATCTCCATGCTCTTCATGTCCTCCTTGGGGATTTCACATGAAGCATTCTGACATCAGCGATCCCAGAGATTGCTGATGAGTTGAGACTTATCAGTAGTACTGAGCTTCTGGGCCACTCTAGGTGTAAGTCACTTATTTATAGTCCCTCTGCTTCCTCTAACAAAACAGGCAGAAACTCCACTCATGGTAAATTAGTTACATAAGTGGGAATAAGCATTTATTTTAAAACCCAAGGCATCCCCTAATTAAGGAACTAAAAATCCTGAAGCTTATTAAACCATTAATACAATTATTCCAGTGTGTTACCACTTACATACCTACTGTTAACCAATTTTACCTATCTATGTCAATACTGATACATGCAAAAGTATATATGTATCTAAACCAAATACTTGAAATGTTACTCATAACATTTGCAGAAAAATATACCTTACAGTGACTTATTTTTCATTATTGAAGAATCTTTCACAACCATCAAGTTTTTCGATCATAGTAAGGACACAGAAAATTATGATATAGCCAGGGTATCAGTGAGTGACCAAAAAAACATCATTAGGTCATCTCTGGACAATTCTGGTTTTGTATTTTCCGGTCAAGCTCCAAGAGATGAACACTGGCAACTTACTTTATCTCTGTATTTTTAATTTCCCTTCATTAAAAACTGAAATAAGCTACATTTAAAACCTCTCAATCAACAGTTTAGATATATCATGTACACACAGGCTGTTTTTCTTTTATAAGTGTGCTGAGGGTCAAACCAAGGCCTAATGAATGCTTGGCAATGTATTCCCACTGAGCTACATTCCCCCTCCTTGAAGTTACACATGCAAATGCTCTTTAAAATTCTACATTATGCTGGTGGAGTGGCTCAAGTGGGAGAGCGCCTGCCTAGCAAGCATGAGGCTTGAGTTCAAACATCAGTGCCACCGAAAAAGAAGTGTAAAATGCTTCACTAGATTATAAATTCTTAAGATATCAGATCATAAGTTTAGTTTAGTTCAATTTACTAATTTTTTATTCTAGTCTGAATTACTAAATTATGAAAACTATAGCTAACTTGTTTTAAAATTCCATTTTACAGATGTCAGACGAACAAGGCAAAGTTCATACATTACTATTACCTTCTCATTTAGTTACCTTTATTTCCTTAGAGAGAACACTCTCTTCTTCTTCATGAATATAAAACTTCACAGTATTTTTCTGTACATCTTTCATGATTTTAACCAAACTATTAAATACTTCAGGTTCTAACTGGCTTATGAAATTTGAAAGAGCTGGTTGGGAAGAAATGTTTACATCAGAGGGAGATGTTACTGTTTCTTTATCTAATGGTTCCCGGAAAGTATCATCAGGTTCAGTGTGATCTGAAGTCACCATTAACTCTGTGCCATGGTGTGGCTGGTTCATTTCTACTTCAGTGAAAGTCAAAGAGGAATGCTGTTCATTAGAGTTGGTGTCTTTCAAAGCATCACTACATAATGGCTCGAGGAGGTCTTTATTGTCGAAGTCACTTGAGGAAACTGATACGACATGTCTTCCCAGAGGATTCAATGCCATCTTAGTACCAGCATCAATAGGACTGACTGGTGGCAAATTCCCACCCTTTGCTGATGCTTTAATAATAATACTATTTAGTTTTTCATGCAATCCATCTACAAATTCCTGTACACCAGCTTTGGAAGTCTTAGAATATATGAACTCAGAAAGGCGTTTCATCTTCTCTTGTGTTGAAAAGATAGGTGTGGATTTTCTACTAACATATGAAACATTCTTTTGCTTCAAAATCTCTTCTATCTTCCTAGAAAAGAGAATGAACTCTCCTAACACTGTTCTCTCTGTAGTTTCGCTCACTGCTGGAGGCTCTGTTGCTGGCACACACTGCTCTTCCACTGTCACCACCTGACCTGTCAACACGTCATCCTCACTGGTGCCCTTCAGTGTGTCTGTAAATGGAGAGGATGGAAACTGGTAATCAGAACTTCTCTGTCTACTTATTACCCGGGGGTCGTTAGGAAAAGCCTCTGTCGGCGGCAGACACACCAGTTGTTCTTCTGGTGATTTCATACCTATACAGGAAGAGTTTATTATTATAAGAGCAATCCAAAAAGATAACATTTAAAAATAAAAAATCTCAACTCAGAAAAAAAAATATCAAATATATGTTTAGAACTAATTATAGGATCAGGAATTTAAATAAAAACTTCAAATACTGGAGTGAACTCTATTTCCTAGGCAGGTGCTCCATCACTTGAACCTTGCCCCAGGATCATGAACCCTACCTAGTCCCTATATTCCCTACTGATGGACTGGGCTTTGGGTTTCAGTAGACAGAATAACAACTTTGAATATTAGTTATTTTCTTTCAGAGTATTCAAATCAGGCCTATTTAGCATCAGGACACAGGTTAAATCATTTTCTTCTTTCTGCTTTCTTACCATTCTATAGATCTGACTTTAATAGACCTGGTTGTCTCTTTTTTTACAGTACTGAGGCTTGACTCTTGCTAGGCAGGCACTCTACCACTTAAGTCTCTCCGCCAGCCCAACAGACATGTTTTGGTCAGGATGGATGGTCAGTTGCATCAGCTTGCTCAATTCTTTGCCAAATAATGGTAACACCCCTTCCTTCATATGAGAATTTAGTATAAAGCAACTAAAAGATGGCCAAAAAGTAATGTGGGAACAACTGCCAATCATTTAGCATCTAGGAAAATTAATCTTATCTGGTGCTCTTACTTTTGGAGTTGGTTAGTGGATTTCATGCATTGTTACAGAATTTTTTTTAATCAATAAGAGAGTCAATAAGGCCAGAAGAGAACTTATTTCATAGTTGCATTAACAGTAATATCTTTGATAGTGCTTTCATAAATGTTGTCATTTTGTTTGGAAAAAACTCCAGGGGAATACAGAATAGTTACCATCTAATTTTAGAAAAAGGTCTTTCAGTTAGCTGACAATAATAGGACTACAACCTCTGACTTGTGACAATGAGTTCAATCCACAAGATCATACTGTTTTCCCCACATGCCTAAATTCAAACATGGTATGTTTTTGAAACTACTTTACAAAACAGATAGGCACATGAGTCCATTTTAAAGAAACAGGGGGAAAATAGCCAGGTGTGACGTACATCTGTAATCATGGTACTTGGGAAGCAGAGACAAGAGGACTACAAGTTCAAGGGCTTCCTAGGCTTACACAGCAAGACCCTGTCTCAAAAAAAGCCTGGGTGCTGTGGCTCATATCTGTAATCTCAGCAACTCAGTAAGCAAAAATCAAGAGGATCACAGTTCAAGGTCAGCTGGCGCAAAAAGATAATGCAACTCCAATCTCAGTCAGTAAATTGGGTATGGTGGCATACACCTGTCATTCCTATCACATGGGAGGCTGCAAGCAGGATGATTATGGTCTGAGGTCAGCCCCCATGCAAAATTTCAAGGCCCTACCTCACTACCTGAGGGAAAAAAAAGTAAAGCAAAACAGGGCTGAGTGGCAGAGCACCTGCCTAGCAAGTTGGAGGCCCTGAGTTCAAACCCTAGAACTGCTTAAAAAAAAAAAAAAAAAAAAAAAAACGGGGAGGGGGATTGGACACATATTAACTGCAATTTATAGTGATACTGTATTTTAGAAAAAGAAAAACTTCATTTTTGCCCAGAAGACTGTATCACACAATTTTAACCTTTAACAGATTAATTTTCCGTAAGTCTTAACCAACATTTCCTAACAAATCACTGCTACAGCCAGGCACTGGTGGCTTATGCCTATAACCCTAACTACTTGAGAGACTGAGATCAGGAGGAATGCAGTTCAAGGCCAGCCCAGGCAAACAGTTCATGAGATCCCCATCTCCAAAATAACCATAGCAAAATAGACTGGAGGTGTAGCTCAAGCAGTAGAGCATATGCTATGCAAACCTAAAGCCCTGGGTTCAAACTCCAGTCCCATCAAAAAAAACAAACAAACAAACAAAACAAAAACAAGCCAGTGCTATAGTACAGGAAATGGTGCCTCTAAATCAGAAGATCTAGGTACAAGTTTTGAAGCTTACAGTACTTTAAAGATTTGGTCAAGTTTACACTCAAGTGTAGTATTATGTGTCTTGACACAAAACTCAGTTTTGATTTTCCCTAAAGATGTAAATAACCTTAGCAGCAGTCAACTTGTGACAGTCTCTACCAATCCTGGTAGTTCCCATAAACTACTGTTCTCCTGCAAAGGCACTTGTCAGTACAGAAAAAGACCATAAAAGGTCCATTAAGTGAAACTAAGAAAGAGAACAAAATATCCAATTTGCCAAGATCAGAATTAAAACTATGAAATTAATAAAACAAAATTCAAATTATGTAAAATTATTCCGGAATACTGACTGTTTTGAATATCTCTCTTAAATGTCTATAGGGCATATAATTAATTGGTAACAAAGGTTGATGCATTAGGAGAAAACTTAATGCACTTACTTTTAGTATTGTTTGAATTCTTGATTTATGTACCACTGTCAAATATCTGATTCATTCAAATAAAAACATGAATTGTTTACTTAAAAAAAATGGGTTGGAGAAGACTATAATTTTAAAACTATAGTTGGTTGGTTAGTTTCTGGAGACAGGGCCTCACTATGTTTTCCAGGTTAGCCTGGAACTCACTATGTAGGCCAGGCTGACCTCAAATTCATGATCTCCTGTCTTCTAAAGTGCTGGGATTACATGTGTGTAGCACCATGCCTGGTTCTGAATTATCTTAAACAAAATACCTGCTCCCAAAATTTATAGCTAAATATCGGAAATAAACCATAGCTTATTCCTGAAGGGCTATCATTTTTAAAGGGATTTAAAAAAAATTTTTTTATTTAAGTGTAACTTAAATCACATGGAAAATTTCCTGTATTTAAAAACCTTAAACACCAAATAAGTCCCTTTTTAACAATATGAAAAATTACAACCTAATTGTATTTTGCACAAATTTCCATGTGATTTTTAAAATCAACAACTTAAAAAAAAATCACACATCATCTACAAATTACTTAGAAGATACATACGTGATTTTTACTGTCTTTCAGCACTGCAGTATTTTGACTTCTAAGCGATAAGGGAGCTCTCTAAGGCAGCATAATAGAGGTATCTACACTCTCAGTTACAAAATATGAATACAGTATCCCAAATAAAAAGAATTCATGTGCCAACAGTGCATTTTGAAGCACAAACAAGATATCTGCTGCCCCAATGAGAAGGAATTACTGGTAGATACACATTATGGATGGAACTTTAATATAATGTTAAGTGAAAGAGCCAAATACACAAGAGCTATGTGGGTTCCATTTATCTTAAGTATAAGAAGAGGCAAAATCTATGGTAAAAGAAGTGATCTTAGTGGTTACCTACTCTGAATAGGTAGAGTACAGACTTGGACAATGTAGAAGAAAATCTGGGGTGCTAAAATGTTCTAACTTAGGTGTTTGTTCACATGTGTATACCATATGTAATACTTCACTGAGCTCTACACTACAAATTCGTGCATGCTTGTACATGCTACATTATCTGTGGTTTCTTTCATTTTATAAATCATCTTTTCTTGAAGGAAACAAAGATCTTAAAGAAGACTATGAAAAGGATTTTTTTCCCTTAATTCTAAAAGGGAAGGAACTACTAAAGATCTACTAAGAAAAGTCATTTATCTTTCCTTCTAAATTAAAAAAAAAAAGACTTCTGAAAAAGTAAGATACAACAAAATAAAAACAGATCACTGCCAAACTCTAAGAAAACAATGCCCACTATCACCTGCAGGGAACTGACTGAACTCTGAAGAGGCTAGTCAACATCAGTATTATCTGCATGTGTTTCTGAAACCAGAAAGCTCCTTAATATCTGATTTAAACTATCTACAGAAGCTAGCTTTATCATAAGAAGAACTAGGTTAAAAAATTAAGAATATAAACAGTTATATGAATAAGATAAGTGGTTTTACCTTCTGGTATTTTTTAATTTAAAGGAAACTTTTAAGACTCTAATAGGTGAATAAAACTTAATCTATGAATATTCAGTGACTTCTTTGAGCACACTGTTTAGAATAAGAACATCTGATAAAACTCAACCAGTAATTTAAGTATAAATATGGTGCTGTCCCAACTTTTCTATAATTAGCAGAACTTAATGCCCTAATGATGGAGATGAGAAATACAAGTAGCCCTTCTGAAGAAGGGCACATTCGGAAGAGCAAAGCAAGCCTTCTTACCTGCTGTTTGTTTCTCACCGTGTTTCCCCAGCTGGTCCTCTGGGCTTCTTGAATTCCCTCCTGAGGGAAAGCATCCATTAGATTTGTAGACTCTCTTCAGATACCAGTGACAGCTATTAAGCACCTTTCAGACCACCTCAAATGCTAACAAATTGAAATATTCCTTGTTTTGCCTAAAATATTCCTGAAGACTCGATTGGAAATGAGAAATTGCATCCCTTTCCATTCAAGTGATAATGGAGACAATACCTAGATGCAGTACATTCAAATGACTCTCAATACAAGTATGAAAGCATTCACATGAAAAATTGTTAGGATAATTATTATCTATCAGTTAGTTCCCTAGTCTATTTCTCCCACTCAAGGCAATGTCTCCAGCTCAGAAAAGTTATCAGTTCCCTCTCTAGCATCATGTCTAAGCCTTTTGTCCTTTCTATTAAAGCCCATGGAAACTCATCAAGTCTTAGCAATTATTCTCAGAATCCTTGGTAATTTCTTAAGTTTTAAGTCACAAGTCAACTTATATTTTATGAAACAGCCATTCTGGTTTTTTTTTTTTTTCTTCTTCCTAAAAAGTTAAATAAAAGGCTAGGAATGGAGACGATGCGCCCTGGAAACATTTCCAAAACTATTTTGCTAAAAAGATTAGTAAGAACTTAGACTATTAAGAGCATGTTATTTGTGTGTTTGCACAGAGATATTAGATTACTGCAAATGATAATATTCTGAAAGACTCAATATGCTTTCTCAGGATAGATGCACTTGGGCATTTCACATCATTCTCTAAGATCCAATTTCTTTGAGGTAATCCAGTATTAAGAAATCAAATTTCTTTCCAACAGATGATCCTTAACATGACACTCACGACTGTTGGTTATACTGAAGCTTCCTCAAGTAAGCTGAGAAGTAATGGCTGCCCAAAAAGCATCATTTCACCTTTGTACCTACTTCCACTTGTAAGAAAGTCAGTTTCTACAAAAAGTTTTCATTTGATAGTCTGCATGCTAAGTTCTATAGGGAGAGTATGCATGCCCCAAGTCCCTCTCTTGTTATTAACAGACCCTTTTGCAGATACTTGCTGATGATATCCAAGAATATCAACACTTTATAATAAACAGTATATTACTCAAAAGAAGACTCTGAAGATGTCAGAGCCAAGTAAGATGAGACACCCAGTGATCAAAGAATGGAAATCTAGAAGGGATGAAATCCTTCAGAAAACTGAAGCAAACAAACCTAAGAGCTAGTATATACCTGTTTTTACCTGTAATTGGAATCAGTTTCCAATGTATTTCCGTCTCTTCAACATTATTTGACTTAGGCTGCTGTCTCCGGAACCCATGTTCAATGGGAACAGAGGGACACAAACTGCACTCTTCAAAATTATTGATGTTAATTAAATTTGGATCCTAAAAATTAAAGCACATATTCAACAGCTTTATTTCCATCTAATTTTAATGTAAAGAATAAACAACTACTTTTCCCAAGTAAATTCATAAACTTCAATTTAAACACATACAAATGAGTAATATCAACAAGATATGCAGTCTCGTATTTTAATGTTGATTTAAAGCAGTGATTGGTACACTTTCAAGTTACAGCATCAGACTGTAAATATTTCAGGTTCTGAGGGCCATATACTCAATACTGCCCTTGTAGTAGAAAGGCAACCACAGGCAATACCTAAATGAAAAGATATAAAAGCAGGAAGTGGGCTCAGTCAGTGCACACTCCTGTCATCCTGAGTATTAACTATATTGGGATGATATTAATGATACAGGTTAGTTTCTCAATGCTTATACTACACACAAGTCTCTTAGTATCATTTTTTTCCCCTAAAATAAATATCCCAAAACTATATGAGAGAAAGGGTGGGACATGCACATATGATTTTTATTCAAAGGCAGAGAAGAATAAATTTGAAATAAGCCCTTAGCTCAAACAGGAGAGCAGCTGACTAGCAAGTGCAAAGCCCTGAGTTCAAACCTGCACACTGCGGGTGGGAGGGGGGGAGGCAGAGGGAGAGACAAAGAAAACAAGAGAAAAAAAATCCTTAGGAATATGATGCCATCCTGGTACTGTTCTCAATGTGCAGCCACTCCTTTAAAGAGGTAAGGCTACAATCCAGGTAGAAATCAGTACTCTTAAGAACATACCGTGAATAAACTGGATACCCTAATAAGCAAGACTGAGCTAATCCCAAAGGCCACTCATTTCCATTCGTATTTGCATGAGAAATACAAAGGACCTAGCTTTATTTGTTACTCTGGGGCACTGAGCTCAGTTGCTTCATCTGCCTCACCTTTGACTTCTATTACTGCCTGCAAAAAGGAGCCAACATTTTCGGGAGTCAATTTTATTATGAAACAATACAGACTTAATTCCCAATGTCATTTCTGACAAACATTGTCTAGTCTTACTTCTATTTTCATTTATATACATATATACATAATATTACGTATATACAAATAGATACATAATATAATGTATATATAATATATACATGCATATGTATGTACATATTATAAAGCCTAAAAGGAAGGAAGGAAAACAACTACTTCACCACTTACCTCTTTGTAACAAGGAAAGTCAGAAGTACCCTCTGAACAGACATCTCTACTTAAAGTATGTATACCTTAGTTCTTTCAGAAGAAAAAAAAAAAAAAGCACTCCCTGAAGCATACTCATATCCTATTTTTGACACACACTAACAAAAGAAACAAAGATAAGCCAAAAGACATATGCTTACTTCTTTCACATGTAGCTTATGGTCAGTGCCTATGTCACTGGTAGAACCACCAGGAAACTTCAAAGATGTTGTATCAACTTCTAGCAATGGGCTTGGAACACCCTTAAAATGTGTATTTTCAATTTTTGCACAAGTAGGCTGCTCATATTCATTCTTGTCTGTGGTACAACTCAACTCATACTTATGCTTCTGCCTCAGCTCTTCATAGGCATCATCAGTATTCAACCCTAAGGCTTTGTTGACTGTGTCTGTCAGGGATGCATCAGAATGGCGTGCATTTGCAAGTGTTTCTGATAGCCAATTAAACAGCTTATGGATGTCCTTGTTACAGGTATCCTGCTGCTGTAGTCTCAAATCAGCATTGTGCCCAAGTAGGCCAATGGGCTGTGGAGACTCTGAAAATAAAGAAAAGTCATGACTTAATGTTTAAAAGCCACTATAAATATTTTAAAAATCAAATATACCTTAAAATTATTTGTTAGGCATTTATAGATAAGAACTCAATCAACTAGGGCTTACATTTTATAAATGTGCTCCACCCCTTACTTTACAAATATAATTGGTTCTAAAATCTTGCACATAGGCCAAAACTCTTAAAGTTATTGTATCATAAGTTAAGCATTCTATTAATAGGAAAATGAGCTCACGCATCAAGTTGTAAATATGAGTAATATGTATTAATAACTGTAACTGGGGCCAGGCATTATAGCAAAGGCCTACAATCATAGCTGCTTAGGAGTGGAGTTAGGAAGATCCCAGTTCAAGGCCATTAGGGGCTGGAAGGGTGGCTTAAGTGGTAGAGCACCCATGTAGGTATTTGCCAATACCAAAAAAAAGGTGTGCTTCCAGCCTTAAAATATAGAGACAAAAAAAAAGTACAACATGACTATACTAGTGAGAAAAACCTAAAAATCCAAGTCTGACAGTCACTAGTTTTAATCTATCTACACTTCTTTCCCTTGGGTCTATTGTAATTAGCATGATTTTCCCAATAAATAACTAGTGAAGCACGATTTCCACCCACAACTTCTTCACATACACAGAATTAATCAGTTACCAACTAAACTGGTACCAAGAAATAAGTATCATATTTGATGAGTGGCTATTTTATGTGCTCAGTGCTAAATAATACAGCAGTTTTTTCAATGTTTGAAGTCAGTCACAAATGAGTTCAAATAAGGATTTTACTACTAACCTTAGGTAACATTATTTAGCTCACCTTAAGTGGTTTTTTCATCTGCAAAAGGAGAATAAAAATGCCTACTATTCAAGAACTGAATGAGTCTATATACATGAATTACCTAGCATATAGCCAACACTTAAAACTCTGAAGACACAGATCAAATCAGGTGTGTTGGCACATACCTGTTATGCTAGAACTTGGGAAGCTGACACAGGATGACCTAGAGTTTGAGGCCAGATTAGGCTACATAGGGACAATGAATCTCAAAAAAAAAAAAAAAAAAAAAAAACCAAAAATAAAGACACAGGTCAATAGTATCAATGTGTATCACTGTCAATCAGTTGAGCACAAATCACAAATTCAAAGGAAGATAAAAGAAACAAAGACATTAAGAAGCAGAACAGTCTAAGGAAGGGCTGACATGTGAAGATATAAAACCTGGGCTGGTGGAGTAGCTTAAATGTCTACATAGAGCACTGTCTAGCAAGCTCAAGACCCTGAGTTCAAACTTCTGGAAGAAAAAAAAAGGTTGAGAACTACTGGTACAAATATAAAACTTGAAAAAGTAGATGGTACTTCAGAAAAAAAAGACAAGTAAAATACTGATCATAACATATGCTAAGGAGATATGAGTCTTAACCAAAGAACATGTGAAAGTGTGGGAAGCATGGCCAGACTGTGGCTAGTCTATACAATGCCTTGAAAAGCCAAGAACAGAAGATGAGATTGTTTACAAGTAACAAATCAATATGAAGAGCATGATACTGAAATGAGTCAAAGAAGTAAAAAGTCATCTGTTAGATGAGAACATGAAAACGATGACAACACTGGAAGAGTCACAGAGGTTGAGAAAAAAACCCTGAAATTTACTTTGGGCAATAGTACTGTGAAATAGTACTTTCTGCAATGACTAAAATGTTCTCTATCTGTATTGACCAATACAGTGATATGGCTGATGAAATGTATTTTTAATTAATTAAAAACAATCTAAACCAGCTAGCAACTACCATATTTTATACACAGAGAGAGAAAGAGAAAGAGAGAGAAAGAGCGAGCAGTATAAAGAGGAAGTATAAAGTATATAGCGCAGTGAAGTATAAAGAAGGAAAGGATCCAGGCACAGTGAGTTAGCAAATGTTTTCTACACATGATCAGAGAATGATTATTTTAGGCTTCATGAGCCACAGTTTCTGTTTCAACTCTGCCATGATACTGTGAAAACAGCTATATCCCACACAAATGAATGGGCATGGCTATATTCCAATACAACTTTCTTTACAAAAATGGGGCAATTTAGATTTGCCCCTTAAGCTTTATAATTTGTAGATCTCAGTATTATGGAAAAGAGCTGAACTGATTTTCTGTACTTTTGGTTATTATAGCAGCAGTATGTTAGTTTACCTTCATACAGATGGCAATTTTCAGATAAACTGCTGGTTTTGGCGAGTTTTCTCATATTTTCAGGTAGATCCTCAAGCTTCCTCTTCAGAACAGTTTTGTTTCTCATATCTTCTTTGTCTAGGTCCCCACCCACATTTTTTTTCCTACACTGAATTAAATTAATCAATTCTTTGACTCGATCCTTATCATAATCCAAAGAATGAGATGACTTTTGCTTTCCAGGTTTAATGCTTTCACTTCTTGAGTTAGTTCGTTTTCTAAATTTCATTTTTGTACCATTCATTTCTTCTTCTTGACCTTCATAATCTGAAAGTGGACTAAACTCTTGAAGTTTTCTATTTTCTTCAAATAGCTCTTTCAATTTAAAAATAGGTAACTGATACATTTCAGGCCGAAAAATATAGGTATGCAAACAGTCATCAATATGGGATTTATTTTTTGGTGCTGAGTACAGGAACTTTTTGTCATCTAACCGTGAATCGTATGGAAACATGATAAACTCTCGTTTACCTGAACCAAAACCTCGTTTAAAAAATTCCTTCACATACTTTTCAACAGCAGAATGAAAATTGACAGTATTTATACTTTTGAATTCCTTTCGACACTGAATCAAAGCAAACTGTAAAAACTGAGCTATTTTTAATACATCTGGCATGTTCTCATGCCTCTCCTGTGGTGCTGCACTGGTTGAACCTTTATGTGCTGCAAATAAAAACAAAATGCAACCCATGTTAGCAATCAAGAAATTAATTAAACACAGATCTACACACTGTCAAAAAGGGTATTAACAACATTTATACATTACTATTGAACCAAACAAGCATGTTCCTTAATATCTGTGTATATGTAGCAGAGGAAATACAGAGCATGCTTCTGCCTAAAACAGATCAGTAAGAAACTAAAACACAGCCCAAGCAGCTCAGAAAGTGGAAATCAGGAGAACCAAGGTTCAAGGACAGCCTGACCAAAGGGTTGGAGAGACCTCACCTCAACCAATGGCTGAGCATGGTAGTACTCATCAGGTATACAGAGAAAGCAGAAATAGGAGGATGGGGTCCAGGTTGGTCTCAGCATAAAGGCAGACCCTATCTCAAAAATAACCATAAATAGGGCTGCTGTAAGGGCTCAAGTGGTGGAGCGCCTGCCTATCAGGTATAAGCCCAGAGTTCAAAACCAGTACCACCAAAAAAAAAACAAAAAGGAAAGAAATGAAGACAAATACAAAACCAGAACACATTTTTAATGCAAAGACATTCACTTATGGAAGATCTTCATGTCTTCTTGGCCCTAGGCAATTCAAATGGTGGCAAGCAAAATATAAGGTGAAATAAAGAGAGAAAAGATCTGAAACTCCAACAAGACAATACCTGCAAATAATAGCAATGTCATTCTTATCTCTCATAAAGTATCAACTATAGCTTCTCATGTACCCTCTTCCCAATAAGCAGATATACAGGCACTAAGTAGTCACAACTGAGAATCATCCTTGATCCAACAGTAAACCATTAGTAGGAACTTTAGTTTAACATAGTATTCAAGTTTATTTTTAGAAAAGGTGAACAGCAAATTTTCTTTAACATCAGCACCCCAAACTCATATTAATTTGGAATGTCCTAATATTTAACCTGGTACATGATACTCTGAAGTGGCTAAAATGTGAATGCAAAAATGAACTGAAAGCCAGGCACTGGTGGCTCATGCCTGTAATCCTAGCTACTCAAGAAGCAGAAATTAGGATGATTGCAGTTTGAAGCTAGCCCAAGCGAATAGTTTGAGAGACCCTATCTCAAAAAAACCCATCACAAAAAATGGCTGGTCAACTGAGGCCAATAGGAAAAGGGGAACAGGTACTAGAGAAAAGGTTAGATCAAAAAGAATTAACCTAGAAGGTAACACCCACGCACAGGAAATCAATGTGAGTCAATGCCCTGTATAGCTATCCTTATCTCAACCAGCAAAAACCCTTGTTCCTTCCTATTATTGCTTACACTCTCTCTACAACAAAATTAGAAATAAGGGCAAAACAGTTTCTGCTGGGTATTGGGGGGGGGAGAGGGAGGGGCAGAGTGGGTGGTAAGGGAAGGGGTGGGGGCAGGGGGGAGAAATGAACCAAGCCTTGTATGCACATATGAATAATAAAAGAAAAATGGAAAAAAAAAATGGCTGGTAAAGTGGCTCAAGGTGTAGGCTGAGTTCAAACCCCACTACCAAAAAAAAAAAAAACCCTAAATATGCTAAAAAAAATAAATCTCATAAAACCCTCAAAAGCTAAGCTGTAGCACTGTAACAATTATCATCAAACTTTATTAGCAAAAGCTAAGGGAAAAAAAAAAAAAGAAGAAGAAACTTCCACTGGGCATGGTATCACATGCTTGTAATCCCAGATACTCAGGAGGTAGAAATAGGATGGCAGTTCAGGACCAGCATGGGCAGAGTTAGTGAGATACCCTAGTACCACCAAAAAAAAAAAAAAAAAAAAAAAAAGTTTATAATGCTAATTCTTCCAAATACCCCCAATATTTCCCAAAACATGATGTAGTAAAGATAAAATGGTAAATTATCTGAGAATTTTTAATAAAATGTTGGTATTATTATTATGGTACTATTAGTAGTTGCTTTTTGATATCAGAGTAACTTACAAGTAACTATGCCTCTCGGTTCTTGAAACAGAAACAAAGCATGTAGTATTCGAGACTTGATAGTCTGGTGTTCTATAGAACAGAAGTCAAAATCATTAGCAAATAATACAGAAGCCAAATTCATAAGCAATGTATTTTAACTAAAAAAACAAAAAACTTTTAATTATAAAAATTAAAGAAAGAATACCTACCATATGGTGGAACCATCTGATAAGGAGAGAGAAGAAAAAGGAATCCTCGGTCTCCCAAAGGTTTAACAAGAACCTGCATTTTTTGAGAGAAAGAAGTAGTAGTTATATCTGCTTTACTACTACTCACCATAAGGCAGAGACACATAGAACATTCTACTAAATATGAAGGAAAAAGGTTTATAATCACCTTTTTAGTCAACATAGTGCTACTGAATTAAAAACACCTCCTCCTCAGCATGATGAAACAGAAGAACGAAGGAACAAACCACACCAACTCTGATTAGGAAGATTCCAGGCAAGTAAAAATTTATTTTCATTATAAAACAAGAGAATATTATTCCCCTAATTAACTGTGAAACCAATTTGTTAATTTTCCCCTGAGGCTATATAACCAAGAGCTGGCTGAGTGGCTCAAGTGGTAGAACACTAGCCCACAACCATGAGGCCGATTTCAAACACCAGTACCACCCAAAATAAAAACAACAACAAAAAAAGACTTCAATATTTTCCTCATCAATTCAAAAGACATTATTAGTGCAAGGCAATATGCTGGATTGTTGGCTATACAACATGCTTTGAAATAATGCCTTTTAAGAATTCAGGCTAATCTTGAATGAAATATGCTGCCATACTCTAATTCTACATATTAATGAGCACCTGTCAGAGGTCACACAATTTGACCTGCCAGAGATAACTAGAAAGTCAACCAACACAAGGTCCTTGGATCACAAGAAGTTTATAACTGGGTAGAGAGAGTAACACATGTAATACAAATAGTGATCTAACACAGAAAAGCTCCCCCAAGAGATTTACAAAGAGGAAAAGAAAAATACAGTTCATTTCCAGTAGTAAAAGATGGTGTAAGAAGGTTTACTAAGTGTACTCAAGGAAGAGTTTGAAGTATGGGCACAATGACAAGAGCCTAAGATTGTGGGAAGTACATTTTAGGAGAGACAACATCACAAGCAACATCCTAATACTTATGACTGGCAAGAGGGTGAGGAGAGATTAGAATAAATGTGTAAGTCTAGAAAGAAAGACAGGGGTCAGACTGTAAAAAAGACAAGAATTCCAAGTTACTCAGTAACGTCCTTGAGAGTATATATCATTTTAAGCTGAAGTATTTCTTTAAACAACAATAGTTAACTAAAAAGACTGAGGGCACTGTGCATGAGGGAAAAAAACCAATCTGATGCAAAATACTTATTTCAGGGGCTACTAAAATACTCCACACTATCTTTTGAGCTGCAGGATGGGTTATAAATGAGGAAGTGTACATGGCAGTTGATTCCAAAAGGATAGCTGCATTCTGATGAAAACTTATACTACCTAAACTATTAACAATGCAAGTAAGCAAAGACTGTAAGAAATAATAATTTATAGGATAAAAAGTGACTGTGCTACTAATTCAGTATTTAAAAAAAAACAAAACAAAACAAACTTGTGGAAGCACTCAAAAGTAAAATGGTGTTATGTTTGGGGGTATAGATGCTCCCATGTGCCTTGCTTCCCTAGGGCTGACTTCTCACCTTCAATTCCACCTGTGCCAAAGATAACGTAATAAATGCTCTCTCACGCTCAAGAAGCTTATTCTGGCAGTGCTCTTACAAGACAAGTAGTTGCATTAGGCTGGTGGCCAGACCAAATATAGTGAGAGGGTCAGAAGACAGAATGGCCAGGAGGAGCTCTATCTGGAGACTGTTCCCAAAGCTTAAGGAATCCTCCCCCCTGATGCTTATATTCAGTGTAGGTCACAAAGCAGGTGGCCTTGTCCCCCACAGAGTATATAAGCTGACATATACCTGCAAAATTATTTTCATATATAAATACTGTGATCCAAAATTTCTTAAACATTATATCCCTTTTAACATTTTGTCCAAGTCCTAGAATCAGAACAGCAAGTTGGGAAGCATAAGTATTTTCATGCTCTGTGCTGAGGAAAACAAGTTACACACTGTTATCCTCTCACCCACTTCATATACAGTACCATGTTTTATAAATGCCACTAGCTTAGTGGTTTAAAGGACCATACTTTAAGAACCTCATTATGCCCCAAAACCCACAGAGTACAGGCAGTCTCCACTCAGAAACAACACTAACACAGAGGCACCTGCAGTTATACCTGTGATTTCAGCCCTGGAGGGAGGAAAAAAATCCCAGGAGTTCTATGTTCTTGGTATCTGTATTTATCACACTTACTGCTTTATTCACCTTCAGAAGACAATTCCAATCTTTGGTTATTTTTTACTTAATTCTACCCATTTGACTTCTCAGATAACATTAAAGACAATATGGAACAGGAACAACAGAAGTATAAAAAGTATACAATGAGCTCACAATCTTAAATCACCCTGATTGGAAGAAAGTTACACTAAGTATGATTCAGTAGAAAATAACATTCAAACTCCCGAAGGCTTCAATATAGAATTGTCAGGTGCAAATTATAAGATATTATAAAAGTATACATAGACATAATTGGCAGAACTGAAAACAGGTTCACACAGATGTTCATAGCAACCTTTTTCTCTTTTTTTCCTTGCTTTTTTGGGGCAGGGTCTCATTATATAGCCAAGGCTGACCTCAAACTCACAATCCTCCCACCTCAACCTCCCAAGTGCTGGGATTATGGACATGTAATGACCACAACCAGCTCTAATCTTTTCCTTAATAGTCTAAAAGTGGAAACAACTGAGGTACTCTCCATATAATGAACAATTATTACTCAGCTACAAAAAGGAACAAAGCACTGATACATGCTGTAACATGGATAAACCTCTGTAAAAGGAGACAGCCAAGAGAAGCTACAAACTGCCTGATGCCATTTATATAAAATGTCCATAATATACAAATGAAAAGAGAAAGTAAATTAATGGTTACTTGAAACTGGGGGATTGAAGAACGCACAGTGAATGCTTAGTGATAGTGAGGTTTCTTTCTGGAATGATAAAAGTGTTCTGGAATTAAACAAAGATGATGGTTTAAAAACTACTGAATTGTACACTTTAAAAAGGCTAAAATGTTGAATTTTATTTTGATTACCACAATGTTATTTCTACCTCGAAGACCAGTGCCTCACACCTAACAGGTACTCAATAAATACATCTGAAAATTTATTAAGAACCTGTTTAATGTGCTGGTGGAGTGGCTGAAGTGGTAGAGCGCCTGCCTAGTAAACATTAAGTCCTGAATTCAAACCCCAGTACTGCCAAAAAAAAGAAAAAAAAAAAAAGTTAAGAACCTGTTTAACGGCAATACTCAGCAAAAAGAGCAATACTGGAGGTATCACAATACCTGACTTCAAACAATATTACAAAGCAATAGCAATAAAAACAGCATGGTACTGGCACAAAAACAGACATGAAGACCAGTGGAACAGAATAGAGGACCCGGATATGAATCCACACAGCTATACCCACCTTATTTTTGATAAAGGTGCTAAAAATACACAACAGAGAAAAGACAGCCTCTTCAACAAATGTTGTTGGGAAAAGTAGTTATCCGTCTGCAAGAAACTGAAATGAGATCCATGTCTATCACCCTGTACTAGTATCAACTCAAAATGGATCAAGGACCTTAATATCAGACCTGAAACTCTGAAGCTGGTATAGGAAAAAGCAAGAAACACTCTGGAAGTATTAGGTATAGGCAAGAACTTTCTTAATGGAACCCAGCAGCTCAGCAACTAAGAGAAAGTATGGACAAATGGGACTTCATAAAACTAAAAAGCTTCTGCACAACAAAAGAAATGGTCTCTAAACTGAAGAGACCACCCACAAAGTGGGAGAAAATATTTGCCAGCTATACATCAGACAAAGGACTGATAACCAGAATATCCAGGGAACTCAAAAAACTAAACTCTCCCAAAATCAATGAACCAATAAAGAAATGGACAGCTAAACTAAAAAGAAGAAATTCAAATGGCAAAAAACACCAAAAACATGCTCAACATCTCTAGCCATAAAGGAAATGCAAATCAAAACCACAGTAAGATTCCACACACCCCCGTTAGAATAGCCATCTCAAAAACATCATTAACAACAGGTGTTGGCGAGGATGTGGGGAAAAAGGAACCCTCTTACACTGCTGGTAGGAATGTAAACTAGTGCAACCACTCTGGAAAAAAATTTGGAGGCTTCTTAAAAATCTAAACATAGTTCTGCCACATGATCCAGCAATCCCACTCCTGGAGATATACTCAAAGGAAAGCGACACAGGTTACTCCAGAGGCACCTGCACACCCATGTTTATTGCAGCGCTATTCACAATAGCCAAGTTATGGAAACAGCCAAGATGCCCCACTACTGACGAGTGGATTAAGAAAATGTGGTATTTATACACAATGGAATTTTACTCAGCCATGAAGAAGAATGAAATCTTATCATTTGCAGGTAAATGGATGGAACTGGAGAACATCATACTGAGCAAGGTTAGTTAGCCAGGCTCAGAAGACCAAAAGTCAGATGTTCTCCCTCATATTCAGACTTTAGATCTAGGGCAAATACAGCAATGTGGTTGGACTTGGGTCACATGATAAGGGGAGAGCACACACGGGGGAGGTATGGGGATAGGTAAGAAACCCAAAACATGATAGTATTTGATGTCCCCACTGCAGAGGAACTAATACAGAAAACTTGAAGTGACAGAGGTCAATATGAGAAGGGAATCAGGAACTAGTGAAAAGGTCAGTTAGAGATGAATCAACTTGGGATATAACACATTTGTACATGGAAGCAATGCTAGGAATCTCTCTGTATAGCTATCCTTATCTCAACTAGCAAAAACGCTTTGTCTTTCTTATTATTACTTATACTTTTCTTTCAACAAGAAAATTAAAGGGTAAGGCAAGGAACAGGATTCTGCTCGAAGGGAGGGGGCGGGGTAGGTCAGATGGCCCAAACATGTATGCACATATATGAATAAAAACCCGAAAGTTCTTTTTAAAGTAAAAAAAAAAAACCTGTTTAAAACAAAATGGCCCACAGATCCAAAAAGAATCAAATATAAATAATATTCTCTGTGAAATTACAAACTCAATGAACAGATGAGAAAGCCAATCAGACATAGCTAATGATAGAATTTTAAAACTAGAAGACAGAAATAGTTAAATTTACTTAGAATACAAAGAAACATCCCTTAACTCATTCTGACAAACTAGCATATCCTTCAAGAAATCTGTAAGAAAAATATTTTGACAAGGACTTTATAAGAAAATTTTCAGATCCACCTCATTCATCATCACAGATACAAAATCCCTAAACCAGAAACACCGGCTAAACCCAACCATACTTTTTCTTAAAAGAGAGGGAGAGAAGGGCTTTCTACACCAGAAACAACAGTAGCTTAATAATGAAAAACTGCAAATATAACTCACTTTATGGAAACAGCCAAGCTGCCCCAGCACTGATGAATGGATTAAGAAAATGTGGTATCTATACACAATGGAATTTTATGCAGCCATGAAGAAGAACGAAATGTTATCATTCGCTGGTAAATGGATGGAATTGGAGAACATCATTCTGAGTGAGTTAGCCTGGCCCAAAAGACCAAAAATCAGTATGTTCTCCCTCATATGTGGACATTAGATCAAGGGCAAACACAACAAGGGGACTGGACTATGAGCACATGATAAAGCGAGAGCACACAAGGGAGGGTGAAGATAGGTAAACACCTAAAAAACTAGCTAGCATTTGTTGCCCTTAACGCAGAGAAACTAAAGCAGATACCTTAAAGCAACTGAGGCCAATAGGAAAAGGGGAACAGGTACTAGAGAAAAGGTTAGATCAAAAAGAATTAACCTAGAAGGTAACACCCACGCACAGGAAATCAATGTGAGTCAATGCCCTGTATAGCTATCCTTATCTCAACCAGCAAAAACCCTTGTTCCTTCCTATTATTGCTTATACTCTCTCTACAACAAAATTAGAAATAAGGGCAAAATAGTTTCTGCTGGGTATTGGGGGGGGGAGAGGAGGGGGGGAGGGGTGGTAAGGGAGGGGTGGGGGCAGGGGGGAGAAATGAACCAAGCCTTGTATGCACATATGAATAATAAAAAAAAAATGAAAAAAAAAAAACTGCAAATATAACTCACTTTATTAAGGTTACAGGATGAATACAATGTGTTGACATTTATTTATTTTTATTTTGAGGTGCTTGTGGGGCTTGAGCTCAGGACCTTGCATTTGCTGAGCAGGCACTCTACCTCCGGCCATACAGCACCAGCCTTTTATTTATTTTTTTTTTCTTTTAGTTTTAGCTATTTTTCAGATAAGGACTTGCTGTTGGCCTTGTTTCACTATCCTCCTATGTATGCCTCCTGATTAGCTTGAACTATAAATGAGTCCCATCACACCCAGTTCATTCGTTGAGATAGGGTCTCTCATCTGGGCTGGCCTTGAACCTTGATCCTCCCAATTTTCACCTTCCAAGTAGCTGGGATAACAGGCTAACAGAAAGAGTGGCTCAAGTGGAAGAGTGCCTGCCTAGCAAGCTTGAGGTCCCAGAGTTCAAACACCAGTTCTACAAAAAAAAAAAAAAAATCTAAAAGTGATTAAAAGTGTGCATGTGGAGCTTACTGAATACTTCCTGATTAATGTTAAAATGTCAGAAATGTTCTTTTAAAAATCAAGAAGGCAAAGGGGCACAATGGCTCAAGCCTGTAATTCTAGCTACCTGAGAAGCAGAGATAAAAAGAGACTGAAGTTCAATCCTAAAGGATAATAAAACTTTTACCTAGTTCAATCCTAAAGGATAATGAAACTCTTATCTACCTAAGAGTATCAAGTAGGCCAAAAAACAGTGCTCAAGAAGTGCACAAAAAAGCCAGCAGTTACAGCAAGACCAATTTCTAGGTTAAGCCCTGAGGTGCCAAGACAGGGAACTAGTCTAGGATCCTAGATTGCATGCTAGCACAAAGAAAAAAAGTATAAAGATTAGAAGTGCCTGAAGTTCTAGCAACTTGGGAGGTCAAGTTACTGAAATGAGGTTGCAGGTGTAGCTCAGTGGCAGAGCACTTGCTTAGAATGCACAGCGCCCAGGATTCAATAACCACACACACAAAAAAAGTACTGAAATGGAAAATACTATTTACAACAGCATCAAAAAACATAACGTGCCTTTGGATAAATCTAACAAAAAGTGATGAACACCTATATTCAAAAAATTCTTGAACTCTCTATTAAACCCCTAAAAGAACAGATGATCTTGATTGTGGATAAGACATTATTATAGGTCAGTTCCCTTAAATATGATTTGCAGATTGAAATGATACAATTCCAATTTTACAAAAATTCCAATAAGGTTTTTTTTGGGGGGTGGGAATAGAGAGCTGATTTAAAATTTTTTTTAAAAAGCCAGCCTAGCTAAAAGATTTAGAAAAAAAGCTAAATCCTAAATGCAAAACACTCCTAGAAAGTAAGAAAAATATGGGACAATTTGCCCTACTATTATCAAAATAATTGTTAGTAGAAAAATTAGTGGACTACTCAGTAAATGTTCCAGGAAGTTATTATATTAGGGGAAAAATGATGTTAGATCACTATATTACACGAGGCAAAGACAAACAGCAAAGTAAAAAATCTTCAAATTAACAAGAAAATACAAGCCACTCAAAGGGCAAATAGGCAAAAGATACAAACAGGTACTGAACATTAGAAGAAATTTATAAATTTATTCAAAACTTGTATTTGAGAGAAGAGTACAAGCTAAATACTACTTTACACCTATCAGAACGGCAAATGTCTGCTAAAGTCTTGACTACACAAAGTACTTCTGAATACATAAATCAATGGGAACATATAGCTACTGGGAACAGAAATTGGTATATCCCACTTAAAAGTACTACAGCCTTATCTTATAAAGCCAGTCATGTGCACATATTATGATTCACTAATAGTACTTCTAGAAAGATACCAGAGAGAAAATTCTGTATATGTTCCTAAGAAAATATGAAAAGTATTCAAATTAAAATGTAAAGTCATATCTGTGTTAAAATTCAGCTTTAGAAATTAACTTACCACCAACCAAAAGAGATCAATATAATTTTAGTTAATAATGTTCTCTGCAGAAAAATAAAACATCCCTAGATTTCTCAGTACTCCTATAAAAAGCCCTTACCTTCAAACACACAGAAATATAAACATGTTTAAGATAAGGTGGGTGCCAGTGGTTCACACCTGCAATCCTAGCTACTTGGGAGGAAGAGATCAGGAGGATTATAGTTTGAGGGCCAGCCAGAGCAAATAGTTCAAAAGGCGCAGATCTCAAAAAACCCATCACAAAAAAGGGCTGATGGAGTGGCTTAAGCTTTAAGAGTACCTGCCTAGCAAGTGTGAGGGCTGTAGTTCAAACTCCAGTACTGCCAAAAAAAAACAAACAAACATACCTAGCTAGGTTTATAGCCAGTTAGATCAATGGTTAAGTGTTTGATACTCTGCAGACAGGTTTTACATAGTCTGAGTAATTCCATCTATAAACTAGGGAATGATCAAATTCATCTCTATTCATATAATGAAATTTTATACAACCATTACAAATAAAATATCAGGTTCTGAAAATCACAGATAAAAATCTACATTCAATTACACAGAAACTGAGGCTCAACAAAGAGCAAAAAGTAAACTTTTAAGTTGAAAACCTTGTATTAAATGGCACATGGTGCAAAAAACTCACCCTCTCTACTAAAACTTCCTACCAACATTTAAGCATGACCTCATCTATTTTGTGTTAAAAGAAAAACAAAACAAAACAAAACAAAACAAAAACATGGAACAACCACTTCCTCTCCTACATCTTAACCATACATACTGGCATCACATACATTCTCTATTCATTCTTCAACCTATCAAAATCTAATGTCTAACCCTCTCTGCCCAAACCAGATATACTCATTATCTATTAAATTGGATACTACTTATTAAACATCTTTTTCATCAGTCTTTTATTATAGTTACCTTTCTCATGCAACCCACCATGACCCTATAATGGAATAGGGTAATATAATGAGGTGGGAACCTCATCTTTCTCCTTGGATTTATACTCTACAGTAAGCAAGGTAAACTTTCGGGTGTTTCACACACATTCTAGGCCCTCATTCCATTGCTCTCAGGATCAAATCCAAATTTCCAAGTATTCCAACACTGCCTGAGTGATGCTACATGATATAGATCCCAATACTTCTTTTGGATCTTCAAATATGCTGCTGTGTCTACTGGACCAAACTACAGCTAAACAGTTTTATTCATCACTCCCTATAATCTAGGAGAAGACTCTTGGTCTCATTTTTTACCAAAATTGTGTATGTGTATACACACTGTATAAGAAAATGATACATGGGCTAGGGCCATGGCCCAGTTGTAGCGCTCCTGCCTATAAGCACAAGGATTCCAGTTCAAACCCCATTGCCCCAACCCCCAAAAAGAAAGAAAATGATACTCAATAAATATGTGCTAATGATCACATTCACAAAGTATAATAAAAATACTTCATTGGGGGCAGGCAGAGCAGTAGAGCGTCTGCCTAGCAAGCCTGAGGCCCTGAGTTCAAAGCCCAGTACCACTAAATAAACAAATAAATAAATAAAAATATAAAAGTCTGTATATGGGGCACAAATTAAGAAAAAAAAAACAGATACTTCATTGGAAAGACTGAGTCTACAGAAGGCCTAGTATCATAGCCAAAAAAAGAAAAATACTAGCCATCATAAAATACTGTTAACTAAATGACAACAACAAAGAGAGGCCTTGTGGTACTTTCAGAGGCAAAAATAAACTGAATTATAAATATGATCACTTATTAATATGGGTATTTTCAAGGAAAACATAAGGACTATTACAAACATTTTACTCACAAGTTTTTCTTTCTCTAGTTTTTGCAGTAAATTCTCCATGTTACTTCCAATTCTTGTCTTTTCTACAACTTCATAAAGGCTGCAATACATTCCATTCTTCAAAACTGACATAAGAAAAAACACACAGTAAATATCCAAGTCAAGTCTGCTTCTTATATACTTTTTTAAGAATTAGATTACTTTACCTTCATTTGGACCTAAGTATGTTTCCTTATAAAACAATGCTGGAGGAATTTTCTGTTTCAGAAGATCAATACTCATAACTGTTTCAACATCTAATTTCTCAGGACTGAAAGAAAATAAAAAAGAATGTTTGCCATCCATATTTATTTAATTTATTTCCATTTTTTGGTAATAGCTTTTTTATTGTTGTTACTTTGGCAGTACTGCGGTTTGAATTCAGGGCCTTGTGCTAACTAGGCAGGAGCTCTACCATTTGAACCATGCCACCAGTCTGTTATCTGTATTTTTAATTCTAACAATATTATCACATACACACTAAAACATACTTGATGGAAAATAAAAGGGTATATTCATTAATAATTCACCTTATTCTAGAATATAAAGGGAGGAAGCATGACTCAGGAAATAAGAGTGCCTGCCTACCAAGCATGAGGGCCTGAGTTCAAACCCCAGGACCACCAAAAAGTAATAAAAAGTGAGGCTAGGGCTGTAACTCAGTAGTAGATCATTTGCCTGGCACATCCAAGGCCCTGGATTCAATCCTCAGCACCATACAAAAATAAAAATAAAGATTAGCTATAGTTAGCTCAGATATCTATACTATGTAAATAGATGCCTCGTAATACCGCCAACCATCCTTAAGCAGAAGCTAATCATACATATCAATTTTATGAATCACAAAGAATAAAAGGTTGTCATTTTATAAAAGACAATTCAAGTACAAGCTTTTTTTCTTTTTTCTGTTTGAGGTGTTAGGTATCAAATCCAAGGCCTTGAGCATGCTAGCTAACCACTCTTAACCCTGAGCTACATCCTAGCTCTGAAGTACAAACTTAATCTTCAGATCTTTACAAAGGCCCATAATATTTACTATGGTGGTAGCAAAACTTCATTTTAGACCTTTCTGTTCCAACGTATGTTGCACATAACTGCAAACAGCGTATATAGTTTAACGTGACTTACCACATCAAACCTCTTTCCAACAAAAAACTTGCTCACTTTTGCAAACTGTTTAAGAGAAAAATCTACCTAATCAGGACAGAACTTTCTTTCTGATTTACAATCACTAAGATATATATTTTTAGGGGGACAAGGGAGAGCAGTGCAGGTGTCTGAACCCAAGGCCTCAAATACTCTTTATCGCTTGAACCACACCCCCAATTCTTTTGTTTTACAGACAGGGTCTTACACTAACTTTGCCCAGACTGGCCTCAAACAGTGATCCACCTACATCAACCTTCCAAGTAGCTGAGATTACAGATATGGATTGCCATGTTAAACCAAAAAAATTTTGTGCCATAAACATGCATGACTAGCCCATCTCTCAAATCAAGAGAGAAATAGGACTCACTTTGCCAGTTAATTTTCTAAACCTATTAAACCAACCTTTTAGGCTGGAGGCATGGCTCATGCAGTAGAATGCGTGCTTAGTAAGCACAAAGACCTGAATTCAAACTCCAGTATCACAAAAACAAAACCTTTTTAAAAGCAAATCAAGGACCAGAGATATGGCTCAAGTGACAGAGTGACTGTTTTGCAAGTGTAAAGCCCTGAGTTCAAACTCTAGTCCTAGCCTCTCCTCCCCCCCAAAAAGTCAACATTTATAATTTATTATGGACCAAAATAAAATTTAAAAACATTTTAAAAAGTGGAAAAAGCTAAAGAAGAAACTGACAGAATTACAAATACTTACAGCTTGATAGGCAAAAAAGCACGAGTGGATGACCTCAGAGAAATATAGCACAGAAGCTTTCCTTTATTTAAAAGCTGTCCTTTCCACAAGGTGTAATTAAATTTATCTAAATAAAATAAATAATGATATGTCAACTGCTTGATAGCCTAGACGTAAATACATATTTCCTAGAAATGAAAAAATACCTAGAAATAAGATTTAAGTAAAAAACAAACATAAAAGTGACATTTGCATTTTGGAAAAATTCAAGTATTAGGATTTTAGTTTATCTTCTTCCCTTAAAGTAAAAAATGCCAACTTTAATGAATAACAAATGTGTCTGAGAAACAATAACCATATAATCACTACCCTCTTACTTCTCCCGAAGGAGTTCAATACTTTTAAAAGGCTGAATTATAAGCCACATGTGGTCCAGCACTCAGGAGGCTGAGGCAGGAGGATTAAGAGTACAAGGCCAGCTTGGGTCTCAAAAAAACCCAGGAAAGAAAATGTTACAAATGACTGAGCTGTAAAACCTGATTTATCATTTACTTTTTCAATTAAAGTACTAAAACCATTTAGTCTATCCTCAGAAGAGCATCTTGTTAAAGGAGACCTTATGCTTGGATGACCAAGTGTTGATGCTACATCTTAACATGGCCTTATCTGATTTTTTTATACTTTTCAGATTTTCATTCATTACAAAAATAAAACAAAGCACTTAACTTATTAATATTTTACTATATGTACTTTTTCTCTCAACTTATAAAATTAAAGAAATGTAAGAATCTTACCTATGTTTCTATCTGCATTAAAGCTGTTAGATCTATAAATAAATTTTTAAAAAAAAAAGAAACATATTACTGATTGGTAACATGAAAGTTAACATTCAGGACCTTGATGTAAGTGCTATTTTTCACCCCCAGTGCTGGGGACTGAACTCATAGCCTTCTGCATGCTAGACAAGTAGTCTACACTGAACTATAGCACCAGCCCATAAATACTATTTTTAATGGCATACTGAACAAGAAAATAAAATCATTCTTCCAAGTATTACCCATTACAAAATTTAATAAACCCAAATCTACTCAGAGAAAAAGAAGTACTTACTTTTCTCCTATTACCACGTTTGCCCAAACTTACGGAAATCATTTTCTTTTTTTAAAAAAATATCCATTAACAGAGATAAGTCCATTAATCCTCTGTCAATTACTTTATCTTGGTGGTAAGATTAGAAAAAAGCTTCAATACATATATGTAAGTATATTCACTCATCACTCAACAAATACTTACAATAAGCTCCTATTACTTACCAGGCACAATTCCAGGTAATAGGATTATAAGGATAAATACAACAAGGCCCCTGATTTCTAACAACTTATAATAAAGAAGACAATCACCAACAAGTATAGTTTACCAGGTGGTGATGATTTTAAGTACTGCAGAATAAGATGCAAGTTACAGGGGTTTAAAAAATTTTTAAAAAGAAAAATTAGGGAAGGCCTTACTAAAATGGTCACCTTTAAGCAGAGACTTGAAGGAAGTGAAGATTAATTTAGGAAAAAAAGGAACAGCAAATGCAGGGCCAAGGCAAGAGCATTCATGGCACATTCAAGGTATAGGACAGATGGTCTGACAATGACTGAGGACTGGAGGCATGGCTCAAGTGAAAAGAACGCCTACCTCACAAGCAAGAAGCTCTGAGTTCAAACCCCAGTACTGCCAAAAAAAAGTTTGAAATGATATGGAGGTCAACAGACTGAATCAAAGAAGGCAAAGAAAATTAACATTCACTATTCCCAAGAGCATAACCACATAATTGTAAAGTGCTAGATATCTTATTTTAAAATGCTATAGCAAATGTATAGACCATAAGGATTATAAATATTATAAGCGGTAAAAAAAAAAAAAATGGTAACACAACTATTTTGCTATTATGTGAATTGGTAGTTGTAGATGGGGGCTTAATCATTAAGCCATTTTTCAGGGCTTAATCACTGGCCCTGAAAAACAGTGTTTTATCTCAAACAATTTAATGGAAGAAAAGCAATTTGATCTAGAAAACTAATGAAGGGTCAACCTTGAAAATACCAATGTTTTGTGACTCATGAACTACTTTTAAATTAATAGATATCACAAGTTATTTTAAATATACAGGAACTCAAAGTGAAAGTAAATAGACGTTTGACTATCTCACATCTTAAAATTTACTTCTTCCATTTGGTTAAAACATTTTCTGGAAATCACTACATGAGAGAGAAAAGGACTAATTTTTGGTCCCTTTTGACCTGCTATTTCTGCTTGTTTTTATTCTTTTGTCTTGCACATTGACTTCTTAAAAAGTCATCAGGAACACTCAAGCATCCAATTAATTTCAAGAAAAGTTTAAAAGGGGGCGAGGGGTGGGACAGTGTGGTAGGATCTGCAACATCACTCTGGATGATGTCTCAAACTCCTAATTCTTACCTCAATGAAGATACAAACTTTGAAGTTTGGACATCATCTTTGTAAGTAAAAGACACAACTGCATATGGACAAACATGTCTTGGTCTTCGCCTTAGTTCATCAAAGCCATACTCATAAAAATAATACTAAAAATAAAAAAACAAAATTAACTTCTTTAAATAGCAAGTAGTACAAGTAAGTCCTAAAAAGATAAAATAGAGGGCATTAGGTTAATGAAATCAGTCAGACACAAAAAGACTTGCATGTTCTCATTTTTATGTGGAAGTTAAAAAGTTATCTCCTAGAATCAGAGAGTAGTATAAGATCCTGGAATGGATATGGGGGAAAAAGAGTGGAGAAAGGATGATTAACAGATATAAGGACAGAGTTGAAAAAGAGGAGTATTTTCTTTCTGTGGTACCAAGGATTGAACCCAGGCCCTCACACATGCTAAGCACATACTCTTTAGCACTGGGCTACTTTCCTCAGCTAAGAATAACTTCAAATGTTTTATAGTATGGAAGGGTGCTATGGCTGACAACAGCTAATTGCACATTTCAAAATAGCTACTAGAGGGGTTGAGGATGTGGATGTAGCTCAGTGGTAGAGCACTTGCCTACAAGCACGAGGCCTTGAGTTCAATCTCCAATTCCACAAGAAAACACAAAATAAATTGAGATCACTATACATGCTCCCACTTTAAAAAAAAAAAAGCTACTAGAGTTTTTTTGTTGTTTTGTTTTTTTAAACAGTACTGGAGATTGAACTCAGGGCCTCAAGTATGCTTAGTAGGTACTCACCACTTGAGCCACCTCAGTACCCCAGCCCACAGAGATTCTGAATGATGTTTGGGGTGTGGATATGCCAATTTATCACCTTTATAACTATGTGATTATTATACATTATAATTCATTGCATACATGTACTGAAATGTTACACTGATCATAAATATGTAAATTAGAATGCCAAAAATAAAAAATATTTTTAGAAAAGGTGGAAAAGATAAATGTGTAGCTTTCTGTGAATCAACTATACCTGATAAAACTTAAAAAATAATTGTAAGTTTACATCTTAAAGTTAATAAAGATAGAAAATACCTGTCAAATCAGTAACAAAATATTATGAATTATGACATTTCAAGGGGCCTAAAATTACTTTGAAAGGTGGGTAGTAGTTTACTCTGCAGGAGGATTTTTCTAGGCCTAGAAAAGCTGAGATTTCAGATTACTGACCATACAAAAACCAGGCTGAGGTCACAGTTCTTAGCCAGGGATAGCTCAACTAAAAGAGTCTGAATAACCCCTATAGGCTTGAGGAGCCAAAGCATGCTTTTGAGCTATCTTGGACACACTGAATAAACTGAAGTGAGAGACACTGGCATCTAACAGTGAGATGTGAAAACCAGAGACAGTAACACAGCAAACTGAAAGGGCGACATTTTGTTACCAACACAGGTATGAGAGATCATAACATTAAAATGGATCCAGGGGCTGGAGCAAGACTTAGGTGGTAGGGCGCCTACCTATCAAGTGTGAAGGCCTGAGTTCAAACCCCACCACCACAAAAAAAAAATTAAAATTAAAAATGGATCCAGGCACATACCTGAGTAAGCTCATAGGCTCTGTAAGCCAAAAGGGATGTAATTCTACTGGCATTCTTCGACACATGACATTCATGCTTTGGTGTTGGGTCCAAAGCACTTTTATTTAACATAGATTCCAAGCTTTTTACACTCATGGGGTCATATATACTCTTTATTTTACCCTAAAATAGAGAAAACCTTCTAAGTGTCCATCTAAACATGATTTTTGCTACATGAAATTAATATAACAAGTAAACAGAAATTCTAGTCACAATGTTCTTCACTAATCTAAACCACATTAACATTCCTTTCTTTGGAAAACAAACTAAGTTAATTTAAATCAAAGATAAACCACTCTCAAAATATATAGGTTCACATGTATTAGCAAGTATGAACTTTTTTTTTTTTGGATGGGTACTGGGGTTTGAACTCAGGACCTCACACTTGCTAGGCAAGTGATCTACCACTTGACCCAGCCTACTCTTTTTTTATGCTGGGTATTTTTGAGATAGAGTTTCATGCACTGTTTGCCCAGGCTGGCTTCCAACTGTGATCCTCCTGACCGCTGCCTCCTGAGTAGCGAAGATTATAGGCATAAGCCACAGGCAACCGGCTTCTGTTGAGTATTTTTGAGACAGTCTTGCTTCTTGGCCGGGCTGGCTTCAAACCTCAATCCTCCTGATCTCTGCCTCCCCAGTAGCTCAGATTATAGGTATGAGCCACCAGCTCCTGGCAAGTGTGGACTTTAATCTAACTCCTAAAGACTTGGGGTCAACTAAAATTAAAACCCAAATCAAATGTTGTCTTTCATACATCAATGTAAAAAGCTGAAATTACCTTCATAATTTTAAAAATAACAACATCACCCATTGCCCCAGCTTCCAAAGGATTAGCTTGTAATAAATCAGCATACCTAGAAAGATAGATACCTAATAAAGAAAAAAAAAAAAAAAGAGAGTTGAATAAGCAGGATATAAATACAAAAAAATCCAAATAATTAAGCAACAAGAAAAGAAATATAAACTATAACAACTTTTTAAAGAGATATAAGTAAAGACACTAGAAATAACTGACATTTAACCAAAGTAAAAGACAAGAAGGAAAAACATGAAACTAACCACATTTTTCAAAATCACATGGACTGGGGAAAATACTCGGATTTGAACTTCAGGCCCCAAGATTGCAAGTCTCCAGTCTTTTGTTTTTAGTTCTTGTTCAGATGGGGTCTTGCAGTTTTTGCCCAGCCAGCCTCAGACCATGATCCTCCTACCTATGCCTCTTAAATATTTGGGATTATAGATGTGAACAACCATGCCAGGATTATTTTTTGAGATGGGGGTCTTTTTGTACCCAGGAGCTGGCCTCAAAACACTATCTTCAGGATCTCCACTCCCTGAGTAGCTAGGATTATAGGCGTGCACCACCACATCCAGCCTGAGACTAGTCTACTTTTCTGGAAATATGATAAAGCATAAAGGAATTTAATTACAAGGACTTGCAGCACAATTACATGAGGTATTTTTAAATGGCAACTTAATAGCAGGTGAAATATAAATTTTTAAAATTACCCATGGAAGGACTGCCAAGAATTGTTATTTTGGACTGGCCCACCTGTAATCCTTTTTCACATATGCTTTGAACCTAAATAAACAAAATGTTTCATAATGTTATTAAAAACATGAAAAGGTAATTTATACATTTATTCTAAATTAAATCTAAACTTCTAAGTATATATATTCTACATTAGACATTTCTGTATAATGTAATACATATAAATGTATATTCCCATTTATTACTAAATATCAATCTGAAACCTACACTTTCAAAATAATAATATCAGGAATCCCATCTTTATTTAAACTAGTTGTGACAGATATTCTTAATTCCTGCCTCTTACAAATGTAACCGTCCCCTTTTAGGGAACACAATAAAAATATACACACACAAATACACACGTATGTATTTAGGGTTTTTTTGGTGGGACTGGGCAGGGCTTCCCATTTGTAAAGCAGGTGCTCTACCACTTGAACCACACCTCCAGTTCATTCTGCTCTGGTTATTTGGAGATGGGGTCGCCTTAACTATTTGTCTGGACTGGCCTCAAACTGTTATTCTCCTGATCTCAGTCTCCCAAGTAGCTAGGATTATAGACATGAGCCACTGGTGCCCAGCTAGAATATAACAAAAAATTTAAAGGGGAAAAAAACAAAACAAAACAAAAAAAATCAAAGAGACAATAATTCTACCGTCTTTAAAGGAGGGGAAAAATGGCTACAAGAACATACAGTTCTTATAGTGAAAGTGACAGTAAAGTTTATTCGGAAAAGAATATACTTTAAATAGACTGAAAGCAGGTTGTCTCAGAAAGAGGTGGAGAATGATAACCTTTTCTTTTTTTTTAACTGGGATTTTGAACTCGGGGCCTATACCGTGTTGAACCACTCCACTAGCCCTTTTTAGTGATAGGTTGCTGCCTTCGAACCTCAATCCTCCTGGATCTCTGCCTCCTGAGTAACTAGAATTATAGGCCTGAGCCACCAGTGCCTGGTTAATGGATGATTTTTTTTTTTTTTAAATAAAAGGAAATGTATTATCAAGCACATTCTAGGGGAAGAAAATAGGACTGTTCAGAAAAAATACGACTACATTTGAAAGACAAATTACAAAACATTCATTCCTCTGAATCATTTCTTCTACTTATACTTCAAGAAAATATGTTAGCTTATACTTACCAAATGTAATGTTTTTTTCTTTTTCTTTCTTTTTTATTTTTGGTGGTACTGGAGTTTAAACTCAGGGCCAAATCTTGTTCTCTGCCCTAGTCCTCAAATTATTTTTTCTAAGAGGTCAACTCACCTGGTATCGATCAACCATGAGAAATGCATAGGATTCTGAAAGTTCCTTATCTAAACGACCATCAAATTTCAGTTCTCTTCGCTTTTCTGTAAACTAAATGAAACCAAGTCTATAATAACTATGTGGCATATGATTATGCTTTACTAAACCAAGAGTTTCAAGCATTTTTCCCAAGAAATCCCATATAAATCAAGGTAGAAATTATTTTTTCTATCCCTATAATTCTGCCTTTCAGGTTTATTTCTCATTTTAACTGGCTCTTTACTGATATAAAATAGTCAAACAAGCATCCAGTACTATAAATTCTAACAACTTCTATGAAAATTTTACCATATTTCAATTTTCTCATGTGATAAATTCATGTTTCAGTTATCTTATAAACTCCCATTTAGGACTGGTGAAGTAGCTCAAGTGGTAGAACTGTCTATAATCTCACGGTTTTACTTAACATAGCACATTGCATATGGATTAGTAAATCTATTGAATGACCAATTTCTAGACTATAAACTCAATTAGGATGAGGAAAAATGTTTCACTATCTTATACATTCTTACAGGATAAGAGTGACTTGTTATAAACTATTTTGAACTGTTAATGTAATTCTAATCTGTCAGCTTTTATATTTAGATTCAAACTTACTCAAAATATAGAATACATAACATTGTATTACTGTTCAGGCCACTACTGCCCTCCAATAATATAGTTAATGTAACTTCAGACAAATTTTCAAATAAAATTACATAATCCCTGTTATATTAAGTTCATTAATATATTCAACTTAATATTTTCATACTTTTTCACTAACAATTTATACTAATAATATTAACATAACCCAGTTACCAAACAATTGCAGAAAAAAATACATCTGATTTCATTATCTTCCAATTTAAGACATTTAATTAACACGTACTCAAATTAAATGAAAGAGAAAAAAGCCTTATTATGAACTAAGAATTAAACCACTGTACAGTAAGCTATTCCTATTCATTTTAGGAAAAGAAGCTACTTTATAAAACTGCATGTTAGTGTGATAAACATAGTGGCGTAACAACTTTTAGGAAGAAAAGAGATACCACTTAGGAAAGGGGATGTAGCTTAGGGGTAGAGCGCTTGCCTAGCATGCGCAAGACCCTGAGTTCAATCCCCAGCACCTGAAAGGAAAAAAAGATACCATATAAAACTTCACCTCTCCATAATGACTTTCGTAAAAAGGAGTATTTCTAGAGAAAAAGGATTTTCTTTTGTTTAGGCTAAAGAATCTTACAGAAAGTACAACTTAAAACATACCTCCTTTTCCAGTAACTCATTATGTATCAAGCAAGCTCGTTTGTAGTTAAAATTTGTCATTGATGTTGGTTCAAGGTAAGCTGAATGGAGAATATTTAAAACATCTTCAAATTCTCGAGAACCTGGAGTTAATGGCTGGAAAAGTGCTAAAATAAAAAACAATAAAGGTTATTCCATCCTAAATGTAGATTCTTCTGTTTTTGTGGGTTTCTTACTCTTAACTTTAAAGTGAAAAAAAGGTGTCTGGTCTACTTTATGTCATGCAAGACATACTTATTAACTCACTGAAAACAAGTAAAATCAATTGCCTAGACAGATTAGTTCCTTCAGAAATGAGGATTTGGATCTTATATATACAGACAAGGTTGCAAATGTACAAACCTTAGGGATGCTACATTAGGCAATCTAAACTGCTTAGATTTTTCTAAGACCTTCTGCATGCACTCAATTTGTCTCAATTCCTATTTTATGTCTAAGACTGTGTCTTTCAGCAAACTAAATGATTACACTGGAAGTGAAAACAAAAACATTTAAGGCACTTATATGTCTATGAAATGGTTCTGTTTGCTTTCACTACTGAAGCTGAACAGGCTGCACTCAAATAGCTTTATTAATAACATAAAGAACACTTACTATGGCTATTTAGAAAAATGTTAAGACGCAAACTTAACATCTGACATAACATTAAGTCAAAACTGAACACAATACCAGACCTACCATTTACTGCTTTGTTTAAGATGCAGCATAAATAACCAAACAATAGCTCAGTTCTCTCAATGTAAAATGGAGAACTCCAGCTCTCCTAAAAACCGTAAGATGATACACAGAAGGCTCTTCAGCATGCATATGGTAGAAAGTAGGTAGTAAGCTTTTATTCCCATGTCCTTAACCCATTCTACATCCCATTTAATTTTTAAAACATTAAATATCTAATTTGTTCTTTGGGACAAAGAAATTTCAAACAACAAATCTATACATATAACCTTTCCCCCAAGTCAAAAAGGAACCACTTTTCACTACAGACAGAACTAAACATAAAAACTATATTATGCTCATTATCATTATTTTTTAAGATGCTATTTAACAGATGTCAATTAAAATACTCAGGTCACTACCAAGAGCTCTCTTATACATATTCTTTTAAGTATGCCATCTGGCAGGTAACTGTAAATAAGTTGTTTTTTTACTGTGTTTTCTATACATGGTTATTTGGCTTTAAAAAACACAATGCTGCCAGGCACCAGTGGCTCATGCCTGTAATCCTACTCAGGAGGCAGAGATTAGAAGGACTGTGGTTCAAAGCCAGCCTGGGCAAATAGTTCCCTATCTCAAAAAATACCTAACACAAAAGGGTTGGTGGAGTGGCTCAAGGTACAGACTCTGAGTTCAAGCCCCAGTACCGCAAAAAAAACAAAAAACAAAACAAAACGTCAAATGATGTATCACTCAAACTAACTGTATGTACATTCCAAAACTATAAAAAAGTAGTTTTTGAGAGAATGTGTATGAAACCAAGTTGTCTACTTTGGGATTGCAGATATGTATGCACCCATAAGAATAAACTGAATATGGTTACAGTAATACAATTAAAAAATAAGACTAACTAAAATCCCTAAAAATGGAACAAGACTACTAAAGTGTCTATAATCAACTTTGTAAATGTAGTCAGTAACTGATTGTAAACTCCATGAGAGCAGAAACTACATCTGCATTGTTGATTATTCTTTCCTATTTGCCAGTAGGTAGAACTGTGAGTGCTGGCCCCAAGTAGGTTGAAAGGTTGAAATGAGTGAAGAAATGAAAATAAACACTGTCAAGACTTTTTCTGGTAGTTTTGAGATCTGATCAGTGTTGCTATATGTTCAAGGCTGGCCTTGAACTCACAATCCTCCTGCCTCAGCCTCCAGAAGGCTGGTATTATAAGTACACACCATCATGCCCAACTTAAAACAATTTTTATACTTAATACAAACACGATCTACAACTTTGAAAATGCCTATCAATTTAAAATCCATTCACAAATTCAATACACAAAAATGAAATGAAAACTCAGAAAAACACATCTCAATTCAAATGTCTTATAGAATGTTTTATAGAATAAACATCTTTGTGACAACTGTCTCCTACCTAATTGTGAAAAACAAATGAGCCAAGTTTGATTATAAAATTTTGAGTTTTATGTATAATTTGTTTTTAAGCAAAGTAACTTCATGTATTTAAGTGTACCAAATCATAGTATGTGGCTTCAAATTTATTTTTTAATTATTTTTTGCCCATACTGGGCCTTTAACTCAGGACCTTTCACATGCTAGGCAGGCCCTCTATTATTGGAGCCACATCCACAGCTTCAAATTTAAGAAACTTTACAAGTCTACATAAAAAAACTATTTTCTTTAATTAAACTGCCCCAGCACTATTCCCAACATCAATCTAATAATGAGTAAAAATTCGTCAAATATAAATTTGGGTAAAAACTTTAAAATCTTCCTCAAAAAGTACTTAAGATTCCCAATCCATTCCAAAGCAATGTCCCATGGAGTCTTGTCACATGTACTTAGGATGACTGCTAACAGGAAAAAAAAAACCTCTTGCAAATAAAAATATAGAAAGTTAGCTACGCACCTGTGGCTCACTCCTGTAATCCTAGCTACTAAGGAGGCAGATCAGGAGGATCACGGTTCGAAGCCAGCCCAGGCAAATAGTTCATGAGACTCTATCTCAAAAATACCCGTCACAAAAACGGGCTGGTGGAGTGGCTCACGGTGTAAGCCCTGAGTTCAAGTCCCAGAACCGCCAAAGAAATAAAATATATAAAAAATAAATATATACATATATATATATAAAGTTGTATGATTTTAGGCCTAACAATAAATGTCTGTGTGTGTCCTAGATATTTCATGCTTCAGATAGTTAGTTAGATCAGAATTGTCATTTCCTGTGGGGCACCAGTGGCTTATGCCTGAAATTCTAGCTACCCAAAAGAGGCAGAGATCAGGAGGATCATGGTTCAAAACCAGACTGGACAAATAATTCACAAGACCCTATCCAGAAAATACCTATCACAAAAAAGGGCTGGTGGAGGCTCAAGGTGTAGGCCAAGTTTAAACCCCCCAGTGCGGTAAAAACAAAAAGTTATTATTTCTACAAATAAAATTATGCTGCTACTATTTTTAAGGATTTCAAGTCAACATGCTAATAGTGACAGTTTATAAATTTAGTAAGTTCATTCCTTGGTAGCCTATTTTTTCTTTAATAAGGTCTCTTAACACTGCATTTACCCTCATCAATATTATTTCTCACTTCTCTTAAAGAAAGCTTAAATATACCATACTCTCAATTATGGGTCATTATTTGAGGAATAATAAACCCTGTAATTATTCAAATGGAGAGACAGCATCTCATGTGAACCATCCATTTCACTTCTTGAAGTCACTAGCCAATACGCTATTTCCTGGTTTCTGGTAGTTATTGATTCTAACCAATACTAGGTGAGTACTGCTTTTCAGATACTAAGAGCTTTATATACATTATCTCATTTAATCATCAAAAACACTTTTTGAAGTTCAATCGCATATGATCAGCTGACTTGGCGCAAAGTTACAGTTAATAAATAAAGCAGCTGTGATTCAAACTCAAACTGTCTAGCTCCAAATCTAAGTAAAAACAGAAGATACATGTGGCTACTAAAAATGGCATCTTCAATTCAATCAAGAGCTGGAAAAATGATTATTTCCTTATTTTATGAACCAGGAAATCATACAGAACATTTAGATATGAGAAATTAGATATAAGCAAAGAATTTGATTTATTGTTTTTTGTTGTTGTTTTTGGCAGTACTGGAGTTTGAACTCAGGGCCAGGCAAGCACTCCAGCCACACCTCTAGCCCAAAGAATTTGATTTCTAAGATTATGTTGTTTCTAGTCTCTTAGGCATCTTCTTTCAAATCTCTTAAGTATTTTTTCTAATTTTTCCTTTCCTACAGAGATAATGGGACCAAAAGGAATACTAACTCTTGGTTTATGAAGATGAACAGCATTTGCAACATCAGTTCTTGGACACATTAAGAAACGGAAAATTTTGCTTAATTTCCATTAAAAGCATGTGAGAGCTGAATTCTGATCATACAAGGTCCCTATCAGCAAAGTGATTACAGGAGTATTTTATGAGATGGAAAAACACAGATCTAGTTGGGTACTTTGGAATTCATAACTCAGAACTAGAAGAACCCAAATATGACTCCCAGCCATACTATCAAAACACTTTTTAATTACCAGTTATATACAAACATATTCAAGAACTGACCAAGTAGCAGCATTGTTCCCTAATCCAAAGAACATTTTCCTCAGTTGACTTTATAAATGTAGTTAGTGCTAATGCAGATCTTCCTGTATTATGCCTATGTAAAAATTATTATAAAGATATAAAAACATGCTAAACTTTTAAAAGATGGGCCACTGTTATCAAAACATACAAATGGACAGAATTTATTATAAAGTTTTTTAATTTAAAGTAACTCATAGATAAGGAAATTAGCAAGGACGGGCTACTAATTGAAGGTGGTCTACAATTCTGAGTCACAGCTAAAATGTACTGGTATTAATGACCATAATATAAAAACTATCCATATTTTCTTCACAATAATTAAGATGTTTTTAAAATAAATCACTTTTCTTTAAAAAAAATTATTACAGACAAAATGCTTCAGGAAGGGGTGTTTCATCTCTAAATCAACAATGTTAAACCTGATGCAGATTAGTAATGAAAACACTGACAAATCAAGTAGAACCAGTACAAATATCAAATTTAACTTTTGAGGGAATGAGGACTGGCCACTGAAAATTTTATTTTCATTACTTAGAATTTATAAGCACCTATCAAATGTTTTATGGGGATAACTATGTTTCTGGCTAGACTTTGGGGCCCAGGCTGACTTCCATGTAGACAGCTCATGTTTTCAGAACCCAGTCATCCACATCCAACTACTCAAAACAGCATGGAAATTTCCTTAAGAATGATGCTTGACCCCAATGGCTTCAAAAAAAAAAAAAAAAGTGCAAATTTTATGGGAAAGATGGGGGATGGGAGGGAAAATTAGTCATCAATTCTCCTGGACTAAACCAGTATGGAAACCAGGGCCTGAAGGCTGTTAATTTTTGAGACTCCAAGAAGTATATTATCACTAACTCCATTTCTCACTAACTTTGGTTTCTTTTTGTAGTTGGTGGTGGTGGTGGTACTGGGCCTGAACTCAGGGCCTCATGCTAGGTAAGCAGGTGTTCTACCAGTTGAGCCACTCCACCAGTTCTCACATTAACTTTGGAAGGAAATATATTCAATACAATTGCCCATTCTAATTTACTTTTGATGACATACTAGATTTAGATACAACAAAAGATGACAATGGGGGAAATATCTAACAAAATTTAATTCTACCCCTTAGTCTGACAGTACTGATTAAAAGTGTTTATGGTGCAGGGTACCAGTGGTTCATGCCTGTAATCCTAGCTACTCAGGAGGCAGAGATCAGGAAGATCCTGGTTCGAAGCCAGCTGGGCATATAGTGTAGACCCTGAGTTCAAACGTCAGTACCACAAAAAGAGAAAGTGTTTATAGTAAGCACAGTATCTCCATCTCAAAATGCCCCAAGGTTGAATACATATTAAACATTTCTAAATTTAACAGGGAAAAAAACTTCCCACACAAACAAGTCAAAACAAAAGCTAACTTAATTTTTATATTATAAAAAGAACAATCTTGCTACAAGTTGAGTAGTGGTAAGAAGTTCTCAATACCAAAGCTCAAATTCCAGTCTCAACACTGGTTAAGTAACAAGTTACTTAATTTTTTTAGTACTTCAGTTTCCTCATCTGTAAAATGGGAATAGTACCTATCACACAGGAATCTTGAGATTTAGTTAATATATGTAAAATGCTTAGAACAATGTCCATAATTTACTAAGAAGTATATTAAGTGTTTGCTTAGTCAAACACTTAATTATTACTCAGTTAGAATGGCAGTATTTTGAATGTCATGTTATTGTCATCATAAAGAACTTTCTAGCCAGGAGCCAGTGGCTCACGCCTGTAATCTTAGCTACTCAAGGCAGCCTATCAGGAGGGTCGCAGTTCAAGGCTATTTCAGGCAAATAATCTGAGAGACCCTATCTCAAAAATATCAAACGCAAAAAAGGACTGGCAGAGTGGCACAAGTGGTAGAGTGTCGGCCTACCAAGCTTAAGGCCCAAACCCCAGTACCACAAAAAAAAAAAAAAGAAAAGAAAAGAAAGAAAGAACTTTCTAATATTGCTGGGGGCATGTCTCAAGTAGTAGAGTGCCTGCCTAACAAGTGTGAAGTTGAGTTCAATGCCCAGTACCAAGCAAAGAAAAAAAGAATAAAGTCAATAAAACTACACCATAGTATTTACCTGTAAAATGTGAAAAACAAAATCCTAGTAAAAATTCATTGGAAAAACAGTCACAAGCAAAGGTCCATGAATCTAAAAGTTCAACAAGACATATCTAGCCAATGACATATCCAGCCAATGTAAGCAACCAGTAGCTCACTCCTGTAATCCTAGCTACTTGGGAGGCTGAGATTGAGAGGATCACTGAGGCCAGCCCAGACAAATAGTTAAGAGATCCCTCTCCAAAGTAACTAAAGCAAAATGAAATTGATATGTGACTGAAGTGGTAAAGCACCCACTTTACAAGTATTGGGGGGGGGAAGATACCCAGCTGAGCATGGTGATCCTGTAATCACAGCGCTAGAAGTGAGACTGAATGATCAGGAGGGAATTCAAGGCCAGCAAGCCTGTGCTACACAGTGAAGCTAAAAGAGGGATTGATGGAGAGACTCAAGTAGTACAGTATCTGCCTAGCAAGGGTAAGGCCTTGATTTCAAACCCCAGTCCTGTCAAAAAAAAAAAAAAAAAAAAAAAAGTCTACTGAAAATAATCTAATATTCACAATTAAGACTAAGATGAAATACTATTATTAAAAGTATCACAGTGATACCTTAAAACAGATGATGTTTTAAGTGTAAAACCAACAATATCTATGCTTTTCTTAATAAAAAGTTCAAGCACTAACTTCTCCCAGTTTAGACAAGTTAAAGCACACAGTGGTAAATAGCTGCTCATTTAATTTTTAAAATTTCTATTTAAACCACTATTGCACTATTTGAACAACTGCTGCTCAGCATATAGACAAGTTAAAATTTTCCGTAGGCATGAGAAGTCTATTTTCCTTCTTAATCACAACCTCCCTTACAGGTGAGAAGCAAATCTTTTCTAAACGAAAATGGAAACTCTAACCTTTCCCCAAGGAGTATTAAGACTTCAGAGGGAAAACAGCCAGGGTTTATATTTCCTAACTCCCCATTCCACTTTTAGTGTGTTGGAGTGAAGTCTATTTTAGAGCAACCTTTGGATTTGGTTTATGTAACTTAAACATACACTGTGCCTCCCTTCATTTCAAACCAAGTGCTAAGGGTTTCTAGACCTACTTTCTAGTACTAACAAAAGCCCTTTTTAAAAAGTGTATCATGATTTGTCCATATTCTTAGCCAACTAAAAGCTAAGAGACTTCAGGGTGGGGGGCATGGTACTAGTGACAGAGCACCTGTCTAGTGCACACCTGGCCCTGAGTTCCACCAAAAAGATACTTCAAAAGGCTTTTATCAAGTTGAAAAGAAAAACGTTAAGTTCCAACCCCCATGAATCCATGTGAATATACTTCCAACCTATTCTCTACCAACTGGTAATCAGTAATGGGCTATTAACTTTTCTCACAACTACAACCATACATACTCATTAAATACACAGGAGAATCAGCTATTTTGACCTACGTCCTAAACAATGCTACATTAACTCAGTTAAAAGGTACTTCTAGAAACATTCCTTGTGTTAGTGGACAATGGTTAACTTCAGCTTTGTCAACAAGGTTTCTCACGCCAAGGATTTCCTTGGCTTTGTCATCCAAACAGAAATGAACTTTCTTTGTACCTTACTGATGAAAGGTCCTACCAAATTCCAGTTGTGCAAATGGAGCTGGTTTATGCATATGCACAGCGTTTCAGTGGAGATTCTAAGTCTTCATTAAGATTCAAATGACAAACAAAAAGCTTCCTAAAGCAAGCCATAAAAAAGTAAAACCGCGCGTTAGGGCAGAAGAACATTAAAACAAATCCAGAATATTCAAAATTCCTCCATAGTCAAAAATACTCCAATAAACGACAATACTTTTATCTCCACTGAAAGTTCTACAATATGGCATTAAGATTTTTTTAAGCAACCAACTAGTGCAACAGCTCCATATTGGCTTCAAAAACTAAGTCTGGACTTCTTTTTATATCTCAAATTCAAATTGGAGACTCTAGGCCCTGAGCGAACTTGTTTATTTCTTTTTCCCCTTCCTATAGGGTAATGACTGCACCAAGAACCTACCTTCCCATACTTCTTAAGATACAAGAACAGCCATTCTAAGTCTGAATTTAAAAAAGAGACCTATTTAACCTAACGCTTCCAAAAGCAAGGGGGTGGGAACCTATTATGGAAATGAAGTGTGATGGAAAAGAAGTTTTAAGTGTGCATGGATGAGATCTACTGAAAGAGATCTCGAAAGAAGGGAAGATGCTGAACTGGACAGCCAAAGTGCCAAGTCCACACAGAGCTGAAGACTTTCCACTCGTGGTCCTCAGAAGGCCAGGGCGTTGGACAAAGCCCCCACGGCCACAGGCTCTTATTTTTCCATAAACGAGACTTCTCAGCGGCATCTGGAGGACACACCCCGGCTTCTCGGCCTCCTGTGATTGGGGAGCAGGGACCCCATCTTTCCTCTCTGCGAGCTGCTGCTTGCTGCTGCTGCAGCCTCAGGGACCAGCTTCCAACCCCGAGCCACTTCCAGCTTCCACGGAGGGTGGGGGAGGGGCGGCCGGCGCTGCGTGCGTGGTTACGTGTCTCGGGTGGGTGTGGGAAGAGGAAGAGAGATCCTAATGAAAAGATGGAGGGGAGAGAGGAAGAAGGGTTGGGGAGAAGGGGAGGCACCACCTTTCTTTTCTCTGCTCTTCCTGGGGATCTGAAAACTCCTCCTAACGGGCCTTTCCGGCTCTTCGGGGCCGTTGGGTAGGGAGGCCGCGCCCGCGTCCGAGGAGTCCGGAGGCTGCTCGTCGTGGCTGAGGCTCTGGGCGGCCTCGGCCACCGCGAACTCCTCGGGCCCGCGCCGCCGCCGCCGCCGCCGCCGCCACCACCACCGCTGCCACCGCTGGGCTCGGCGATGGCGAGGCCGCCGCCATCTTGTGCGGAGGACTCAAGATCCGGAAACTCCGGCTTCATCTCATCGTCGCCGCTGCCGCCGCTGCTTTCCCAGCTGGCGTCCGTCGGCAGAGCCGTCTCCGTCTCCGCGACAGTCGCCATCTCGCCGGCGTTGAGGAGCTCCGAGAAGCTTCTGCCCACAAGGTCGACAGGCGTGGGGGGAAGGGGCGGCGGGCGCGCCCACCCTCGCTGCTCTGACCCACCCACCCCCTTCCCCCCTGTGGCCGCGGGCTGTGCTCCCGACCTACACCTAAGTTCAGAGCCTCAAAAGCAGGCGTCCCAACGAGCCGCTCGGCCTCAAGAGCCGCTCCCCGCTCCACCCGCTCTTCAGTCAGCCCCCCGCCACTCAACGTGCTCGCGTCGGGGCCGGGAGGGGGCGGGGCCTTCGCGGGCCGCTCCGCCAATAGGAGTGCAGCGCCCCCCTCCGCGGGTGCAGCTACGCCGCGCCGAGGGGCGGAGCCTCCGGACGCCCGAACCCGCCAAAAAGGGGCGATCGCAACGCCCGGTAAGAGCCTCGACGCCGTGGCCGTGCGCGGCTTGCGTGGTCCTCCAGGTGCTCGGCGAGTTCCCGGGTCGCGCCGGGCTGTTGCTGCGGACCGGGGAGGCGGGCTCGGCCGCGTGCCCACGGCGCTAGGCGTCGCCCCTTTGCAGGCAAGACGGCCTTTTCTGTAAACAATAGACACAGGTTGATCTCAGTTTTGCGAAATACCTGTGTGTATAAATTAGGCCTGGGAAAGAGATAAGGGAATGGATGGGCTCCAGCGATAAGGCCATTAGCTTCTGCAACCTGCCGTTTCCACCAGATCTAGCATCTTCACAGTAGATTACCGCCATCCCGTCCTCTTTAATCCTCCAGGGCTAGACCCAGAGCAAGCACCAAATACCTGGGACCTTTGATGTTATTGGCAGGCTAGTATTGAGGTAGTTCCTGGCTTTTAGGCATTTTTGCCCCTTTGGCTTTTTCAGTTTTTCCTATAGTAAATACGGGGGATGCCGGTGGCTGACGCCTGTAATTCCAGCTACTCAGGAGGCCAAGATCAGGGGGATCGCAGTTCGAAGCCAGCCCAGGCAAATAATTGGCGAGACCCTATCTTGAAAAACACAATCACAAAAAAAGCACTGGTGTAGTTGCTCAAGGTGTAGGCCCTGAGTTCAAACCCCAGAAGGCAGCCCAGGGAAATAGTTCGGGAGACACTATCGCAAAAATGCCCAACACAGAAAAAGGCTGATCTAGTGGCTCAAGTGGTAGAGCCCCTGCCTTCTCTTAAGACCTAATCTTCACAGCAGCCCTGCATTTTATGAAGAAATGCAGGAGGGCTGATAATTTGCCCATGATCACCAAGCAGCAGGATCAGGAGTGAGACCCATGCCCCTGTTCCCAAATTCAGGCTATCTCTCAGGGAGGCAACAGATTGAAAGGATAATTGTAATAAAATCCCAGTCTTTGTCATGTGGTTGCTACTTAAAGGGCATTCCCAAGGACAACAGAAAGTTGGGATGACCATTTGTGACTAACAGCTGATACAGAAAAGCTTCTCATAGATTGCTTCACCTATTCGAATCAGTAGATCAAAGGAAAATGAGTATAAATCAATTATCAGTAAATAGTTAAGATAAAAACCTTTCAGTGTATTTTTTTAAATGAAGAGAAATGAGGGCTAGGCTGAAGGAAAATGGTACATTGTTTTAAAAGAAACCTTTTAAAGTTTGGGGGAGAGCTGGAGCTCAGCTGTAAAGCTTGCCTTAGAACCTCCAACACTGCCAAAATAAATAAATAAAAAATAAAATTGGGAGAGGCACTTTACCTGTTTTGAAAGGGTTCTACGGAAGATTAGAAACTCAGATTTTGCAATCCTCATAATAATAATTTTCATTTTTGTTAGCTCATTGAAGACACCCCTGAGTGCTTTTTTTTTTTTTAAGTGAAAAGATTAGTAAGGAGCCAGGCATTAGTGGCTCAAGCTTGTAATCTTACCTATTTAGGAGACTGAGATCAGGAGGATTGAGGTTTGAGACCAGCCCAGGCAAATAGTTCTCCAGACCCCAGGTCCAAAATAACCAAAGCACAATAAAGTGAAGATGTGGTTCAAGTGGTAGAGTGCCTGCTTTGCAAGAGAGAAGTACTGAGTTCAAACTCCAGTCCCACCAAAAAAAAAGTAAGAACTAACTACATATGGGTGCTGCCATTTAAACAAGGGTTTCCTCATCCACTCAGCAAAAGCCAACCTTACTGGAAAGGTCCTAGACTATATGCAAGGCAACCACAGATTAGTGGTAAATCATACCTGAAACAAAGGCCAGAAAGAACCATTAGTCCTCCATAGAGATTAAATCTTAAATTCTGTTAGGAAAGAAATTGTTTTTCCATCCCTAATCAACATTTTTTTAAGAAATTAGTGAATTAATTATTACACCTTATAAAATATAAAAAAGTATCCCTAAAATATCATTTTAAATATATTTTTAATTATTGTAGATAGAAAAAATTTACATTCAGCTGGATAATATTACATTGAATATTGGAAATATTTTTTAGTTGTTTCTTTGAGCCTAAACACTGCTAGATGCTGAAGATGTAACTGAAGCAAACAGACAGGGTTACCTCTGTCAATTTTACAGTTCAGTGGGAATATATCTAAAACTGGGGTCTGTGGACAGCTAAGCTGAGACCAAAAGATTGAACAAGTAGTTCCCTCAGGAGAAAGGAGATACGTGTTTGCTACATCCCACCTATGGCCAAAAAACCAACACAATGAGATAGACGGCATTTCCATCTCTGTTTATATGTGTGTATATAGGTACAGACATCCATTGTATACATGGGGGAGGGAAGGAATTACTGAAGATGAAGGTGGTTCTGAAGCAAGGGTAACCATGGTTAAAAGTGTAAGTCCGAGTGGGCACATGGCTCAAGTGGTAGAGCACCTGCCTAGCAAACATGAGAACTGGGATTCAATCCCCAGTACTTAAAAAAAAAAGTTTTCCCATACAACAATAATATAGTAAAAAGAAGAAAAAGGTATAAGTCCTACAATCAGTAATGGGAAAAAAATATAGCAATATAAGAACATTAGAGAACAATATGAAACAGTGAATAAATATCAGAACCGCAATTGCTTTTATAAACTTAGAAACATAAAAATATCCAGTTCAACTTCTCATTTATAAAAAGACAGTGACCTAAAAATCACATAGCAAGTTAATAACAATTAACACACTAGGCCATATGTTCAACTCCAGCATCAGACAAAAAAAAAAAAAAAAGAATTAACATTTATTGAACACTTTCTATTGTGTTAGGCGCTATTCTATGGGTATAGTCTCCTTAATTCCCACAGCTGGTATAAATGTTCCTTTGTTTTACAGATGAAGAAACTAAGGTAGAGTGGTTAAATTTTTTTTTTTTTTTTGCAGTACTGGGGTTTGAACTCAGGACCTACACCTTGAGACACCCACCAGTCCCTTTTTGTAAAGGGTTTTTTTCAAGGCAGGATATAGCAAACTATTTGCCCAGGCTGGCTTCAAACCATGATCCTCCAGATCTCTGCCTCCTGAGTAGCTAGGATTACAGGAGTGAGCCACAAGTGCCCAGTATAAATTCTTAATGTTTTTTTAGTGTGTAAGTGACAGAACCAAGACTGTGGCTCTTTGTTCCCAAAGCCCCATGTTATTAATAACCACAATGCATTAACCTCTCTTGTTTAGTGGCAAAGCCCAGAACATTGCATTTTTTCACTAGGACACTTCACCTCCTTCCTCAAATAATACTTTCAAGGTCAAGAGCCAGTTGTGGTAGCAAGGACTTGTGGAGACAAGTGAATACCTTGAGCCCAAGAGTTCAAGACCAGTCTGAGTATACAGGGAGAATTTGGCTCAAAAGAAAAAATAGCAAACTAAATAAATTAATAAATACAGGCTATGAGTAGTGTAACTCGGCAGTGTCAATATTACTGATACATCAACCTTTGACCTAGTAATTCTACTTATAGAAATCTATACTACAGATGTACTCATTTACATTTGACATGTCTATTATAGTGTTGTCTGCAATAGCAAAAGATTGGAAGCAGGTTAAATACCTCTCAATAGTGGATAGTCACACAATAGAATATTCAGCAGCCTCAAAACTGAAAGCACGGGGCTGGAGGAGTGGCTCAAATGGTAGAGCACCTTCCTAACAAGTGTTAGGTCCTGAGTTCAAACTCCCATACCACCAAAAAAAAAAGAAAAAATGTAGCTTTTAGCTGGGCACCGGTGGCTCATGCCTGTAATCCTAGCTATTCAGAAGGCAGAGATCAAGATTGTAGTTCAAAGCCAGCCCCAGTAAATAGTTCTCAAGACCCTATCTTGAAAAAAAACCATCACAAGAAAGGGCTGGTGGAGTGGTTCAAGGTGTAGGCCCCGAGTTACTGGGTAAACCCCAGTACCGCAAAAAAAAAAAAAAAAGGAAAACATGCTAACAGAAAGAAGTCAGGCACAAAGGCCAAGTATTATATGATCCTGTTCATATGAAGGCACAGAATGGGTAAATTCACAGAAATAAAAACCAGAGCCAGGTGCCCGTGGTTCGTGCCTGTAATCCTAGCTACTTTGTAGGCTGAGATCCGGAGGATTGCTGTTCAAGGCTAGTCCATGCAAATAGTTCAAGAGACGCTATTTCCAAAATAACCAGAGCAAAATGGACTGGAAGCTTGACTCAAGCAGTAGAGTGAGTAAAGCCCTGAGTTCAAACCCTGGTCCCACAAAAAAAAAAGTTGAATGCATTTCTTACTGTGAAAAAGAAAAAGGGAAGAAGAGAAGAGCTGGCTGAGAAACTATTGTTACTCATGACCACGTGTAAGAGTGAAACAGTAAACTGGGTGTGGTGGAACGTGAGTATGGAGGCAGTCTGGGCTATGCAGAGATCCTGTCTCAAAATAAAAAGAGTGAAACAATCAGTAACAATACAGACAGCTTTGCTGATCAAAGCAATTAGATAAGGATATAGTCAGGATTCACACATAGTAAAACCAAAAGCTCTGATAATAGTGTCTTTTAAGTGAACATCACTACTAAGGTTTTATAGTAACAATCGGCAGTTGAAAAACATCTCCTGTGTCTTTCTGGGAAAGACATTTTGTAGGGGTTTTGTTTGTTTGTTTTGGAGTTTGGGGGAGGCAGTACTGCAGTTTGAACTCAGGGCCTCTCCTCTGCTAGGCAGGTGCTCTGCCACTTGAGCCAGGCCCCAGCCCAAAATGTTGTTTTTAATGCTCACAAGTACCTTGAGCCTTGAAACTCCCACAACTAGGAGACTCTTTTATTTATTTCTTTCTTTTTGTTTTTTTTTTTTTTCAGAGTTGCTGTAAGCATTTG